CTCCAGAGGGGCCACAGCCCTCTGACATGACAGTTTTGGACTTATGGCCTCTCAAGCTGTGAAAGAAACAATTTCTGTGATCTTAAGCCACCAAGGTTGTGGTAATTTGTTATTGCGACTCCAGGAAGCTAACACACCTAGTCGCCGTGAATAAGACAGCATTTCCCTGTCAGCTAAACGTGGCCATAGGACGAAGTCCTGGTCACTGGGAACAAGCAGAAGTGAGGTGCGCCTCTCCCACGCCCTGTTTCTACCAGACGAGGCAGCTTCGAGACACTTAGGCTCCAGAAGCAGAACAAAATATACGTGCAGAGACGCCCTCCCAGAAAGAGCAATAAACCAGCTGTTCCCAAATTTGAGTCCAAAGCCAAACTTTCATCAGTCTGCAGTCTAATGGGGAAGATAAAAACAATCATTTTGAATTTAAAGGACTATTCTTTATTCTTAGATTATGTCCTTTCCTTAAAAAAAAAATAAAGTAACATGCTTTCCCTGGTGAAATCAACAGTGGTAGATGGTGTGGTGACCGTTTTTCTCTTTTGCATCCCATGGTTCTTCTTATGCAACTAACATTCCAGGAAGGGGACTGGAGGAAAAGTTAACATCCCCAATTTAAGAATCAGGAACTGACAGCAAGTTAGGTGAGCAGCCTTGAACCAGAAGGGAACGGACCGGCTTGTGGTTGTTTTTGAAAATGTCCTTTGTTAGCACCACCCCTCCACCCAAATACCGGCAACCCTACGTTGCTCACTGTCATAATTTGGGGTAAAGTTACTGGCGTGTAAGACTGAGGTCCCTGAGATAGCCCACAACGGGTGGAGCACCACGGCCGGAACGTCTTATTCAAAGAACCCACTTCTGTGAGGGTTCAAGACGGGGACAGATATCGGGGTGGGGAATTAAGGAGGATTTCTTGGAACCAAGTGGGTTTGAAGGATGGGTAGAATTTATAATTTTTGTATATATTTTGAATAGGTAATACAACCAAAAATTAAATGTATAAATGATATGCAATGAACGCTGTCACTCTGATCCTGAGTCTTCCTCTCACCCAAGATAAAATTTAAAAATTTTATTGTATTTTTTTAGTGATTATAAAAATTCGGAAAAGTTCATGTAACCCATCTGGTTAGCATCTTTCTGCCTCTCTACACACCTCTCTATTCATTTTGCTTGGAGGGAAGAGAGTTTATTTCTCATCTGCTCTGGAGACATGGAGACCAGGGCCACTGTCCATGCCTGCACGTTATCCTGCCATGGCCAAGGCTATGCTGGCTTCCAAGGTCGGGAGGGCCAATTTGCAGCCCAGTGCTCTGTCCTTGGGGAGAGAGAAAAGGCTTTCAGTGGATATCTGCGATCATATCGAAGTAAATGGAAAGTTTACCATGCTGCCCATCTTGTGGAGGCCTGTCCAGGTTCTCAGCTGGACATACTAATTGATCAAGGAAAAGATGCCCAGTTCTTTTCAGATGCACGGTAACTTCCTGATAACTTCTTAAGGGTCTTTACAGAACAGAAAACTCCCCTTGTTTTTAGATTGTCTACTCCTTCCTTGCAGCCTTTCTTATCAATCAGCTCAGACATCACGCAAAATAGCTGAATGCGTGAAAAACTTCAGATGCTAGAATCCCTTCAGGATTCCAAAAGATTAGTTATAAATGGAATTGCAGGGAAAAAATTTCAAAATACTGGAGTTAAAAAAAAAGGTGTCCCGGGGCCGGCCTGGTGGTGGAGTGGTTAAGTTCCTGCGTTGCGCTTCGGCAGCCTGGGGTTTGCTGGTTTGGATCCTGGATGCGGACATGGCACCGCTTGGCAAGCCATGCTGTGGTAGGCGTCCCACACATAAAGTAGAGGAGGATGGGTATGGATGTTAGCTCAGGGCCAGTCTTCCTCAGCAAAAAGAGGAGGATTGGCGGCAGATGTTAGCTCAGGGCTAATCTTACTCAAAAAATTTTTTTAAAAAAGTGTCCCTTGGGTGGAAGCTGGGCAGCAGTAATGTCCCACGGCACCTTTTGCACAGGACTGTGTCAGGGCAGAGACGCTGGAGGCCTGAGGCTCACAGAGGGTCTTGCATCTGAGCACCAGGCAGGAAACACCAAAATATTGGGGGCAGGTATGGGGCATTGATCAAAGGGAGGGATCTGTGTTATGAAAGGAAGGGAGAGCATCAAGGAGTTAAATAGGTCAATTCAGTAGTTTAAGTAGCTTTAAGTGAAATAGTTTATGTTGGGCCCTTGCTCCGCCGTCAGATCTTGGTTGGAAAATAAGACAAGACGAAGCCAGAAACCAAGCATAGTGGAGGATGGGCTTATATCCTTTCACCCTCAGGAGTGAGGGGCCCTGGAGCAGAGCTGCGGCTTGGCCTGGTGAAGCCAAGGAGCTCGCTCGAGGCCACCCTGCGCACGCCCCACTCTGGCTGCATCACCCGCCCGTGGAAATGGATTTACAAAGAGAAAAGTCAAATACAGACGAAAGAAGCAGCAGACAAGGCGAGGCGACATGTGGCGTCCTTCAGCACTCCTCGAGCTTTCGTGTGCTCGCACGTCACCTGGGGGTCTCGTTAAAATGCAGATTCTAGTTCACTGGGTCTGCCGTGAGGCCTCACATTCCACTTTTCTATGAAGATGCCAGGTGATGCTGCTGCCAGTGGCCCAGTGGCCACACTTTGAGGAGCGAGGGCCTGGTTGGCATCACCTCGGGGAAGATCTGGGAGGGTTTGTGGAGCAGACAAAGGAGGACGTCATGAAGCGGGAAGAACACATAGGGTGTGAAAGGGTGCAGGAGTGAGGACTCTGTCAGCAGCAGGCAACCAAGAAAGCACTGAAAGTAGCTGAGCAGTGAGACACGGAGCCTGGAGGTGGGGCTGTACTGTGTGAGTCAGCTCAGGAGCTCAACCCCATCACGAACCCAAGTGCTTCCCCTCCCTCTGCTCCAACAGCCCAGGAAGTGGTGATGATGGCTGAGATGGCCCCACATGTCTCAGGCAGAGGATGATGTCCAGACACAAGAATGACACCTTTCCTCGCAAGGGAAGGTTTCCCTTCAAGTCTCATTGGCCAGATGGAGCGCACACGCCCCTTCCTAAGCCAATCGCCAGCAAGAGGAGAATTACCGTGAGTAGCTTAGACGAGTCAAGCTCTTGGGAGTGGGGACAGGAATATATCTTATATTCAAGATCTGATTACTCCAATATCTTCAGTTCTTGGGGGTCTGCTCCCACTGTTTGTTGTTTCTGCTTACTCTCACCCACGGTGGCTTGTTTCCTTGTGAATTTGGTGATTGTTAATTATGGGCTTATGTATGGGAGGATGTGGCTATGTGGAAAGTCAACATGGTTTGGCAAAAAAGTGGTGTCTTCTGCACGCAGTTAACTACAGCTGGGTGACTGACAGACATTTGACATTCAGATGCCCCATTGCCCCTCCGGGTGACTGGTCAAGTTGGTGTTTATAATACGTCATGTAGTTCCAATGTGGATTGTCACACCTGTTCTCTCTGTCAACATGGCTGCCTGGAGGGAAACCATGGAAAGTAGGAACCCAGGACAGGCCGAGAAGGATGTGCTCTCTCCTAACACCCTGTGCTGGGGTTCAAAGCAGTCTTGGCAGCCTCCTTTACCATGACTCCAGGGTTAGGTGTGCACAGAACAGGCCCTCCCCACCAAAAATGGCCATTCCCATTGCAAGGAGCTCTCACTGGTGGTCTCTTTCCCGTGCTTCACTTGTGACAATATTCTCAGGGTCTCTGTGCCCCACCACCAGCCTGCTCCTATTGCTCCTCTTACCTCAGACCTCAGGCCCTAAACCAAAAGCTCCACTGCCTTGTTCCTGCTCTGCCAGGGGACCTTCCAGATTCCTGAAACTTAGTTACACACAGCAGGTTTCTGGCAGGAAGGCAGGGGCCTCACCTTTCATAAACAGAAAGGAACCTGTAAATCTCTCCAAGAGTCAGGACTGAAACAGAGAGTTGGGTTTCACAGCACATACGTGGTTGAAACTCTCGAGGGGATACACAGCTTCAGTTGAGCCAAAGGCATGGGTGGGCCTTGGAAACACCATCACTGAAGGGCTGGGCAGAGAAAGAAGAGATGACAAAGGAGAAATAGAAGAAAATAGGAAAGTGTGGTGTCCTGGAGGCCAAGGCACAAACATGTGTCAAGAACTGAATGTTCTACAGCATCAAACTCTGCTTCCACAATGCAAAGCTGACCCTGGGTTTGCAATATGGAGGTCCTCATATGGAGGTCCAATATGGAGGTCCAATGTGGAGGTCGTCATATGGAGGTCCAATGTGGAGGTCGTCATATGGAGGTCCAATGTGGAGGTCGTCATATGGATGTCCAATGTGGAGCTCCTTGTTGGCCTTGTCGGAAGCAGTGTTTGTGGATCAGATTTCCCTGGGCTGAGGAATAAGTGGGAGGTGAGAAGTGATGACAGTGAATGTAGATGAGACTCTAGAAGTGGCAACCATCTCCCCTGCCCAAGGAGGCATCCTCTGACCATCCCATTTAATGCTGCAATCCGCTCTCCCCTCACCCACCCATCCCCCTTTCTCAGTTCGACTCCTTTTTTTCCATAGCACTTACCCCTTCCAAAATACTGTAAGCATTTTATCCTTTCCCAATTTATTACGTTCCTTGTTGATCACGTGTCTCCCTTTTGAGACCGTAAGAGTCCCGAAGGCAGAGACCCTCATCTGTTTTGTTCACTCATTCATCCTAAGTGCCTAGACTAAAGGCTTGGCACCCAGCAAGTGTTCAAAACATTGGTTGAATGAATGAATGAATGAACGAATGCAGGTTTTTTTTTGGAGATGGAAGCAGCCTGGTTATGTCTATCAGTTAGGGAAACTCTCCAGTATGAAATCACAGGAGAGAGAAGCGGGAATTAATGACTCACGGGCTCAGAAACGATGAGTTTCAGAGCACGCTCAAGAGAAGGATCTGGTTTGGGGAAGTTGGGAGTGGTGACATATAAGACTGGGCGGGTAGGTTCAGGGAGTGTTGTAAACAACTCTGACCGGCTCAGAGTCAATGCCTGGGTAATGGAAATTCCAGAGTTGATGGTCTTTTTGAGCAAGGGAGTGACAGATCACTCTGGTGACTAAATCAGGGGCACTGTGTCACACAACTCAGGAGACTCCATTTGTAATCCCATAGAGCACAGCGTGAATGGCGCGCCCTGGAGCTGGGCGACATGGCTGCCCTGTGAGGAGGGGCTGGTGCTGAGAGGAGCACAGGGCCGGACTGTCCCATACGAAACTCTTGGAGACATAGTAAGTCCTGACTGGTGGGTGGCGGAAGGGACAGGTAGAAAGTGATAGAAGCCTGAGTTTTGGCCCAAGCGGAATTAACACGAATTCAGATTTGACAGCAGGGAGGAGGATGAGAGGCTCAGAAGTATTGGAAGCAAATTGTTTACGGGAAGACCTTCAGACCAGGGACCGGCTGCGCTGGGGAGATAATGAACTGAGGTTTTGGTAGTTGCAGTTGCTCAAGAAAGAAGGAAGTCCACTTAGATAGCATAAATTTTTTCTAAAAAAGTATGATTGCAGATAAATCCCAGACAAGACCCATAGAGGAAACTTAGTACTTACTGAAAAAAGGACAATTGGAAGAGTCTGTGGCTCTTGAAATCGATGGACGGAGGCCACCTATGTCCTATGAGAGCATCCTTTGGTGCCTTACCATTCCTGTCTGATCCGGTCCCATCCTTTCCACCCCGCTCAGTTCAACTACATTCTAGTCCATTCAACAGACATTAATTGAGCATCTGTAACTCCTCAGCATCAGAGATAAGAAATAAGTGGTATGGTCCCTGCTCCTGACTGGCTGTCAGGCTAACAAGGGAGAGAGAAATGCAAGCAGCTGCAATGAACGTGGAAGATGCTAAAATGGAGGTTCCGCAGGGAACTGAGAAGGGGCAGAGGCAGGAGAAGGTTGGGACGGTTAGGATTCCTTCTCTGGCCGAGTTTCCTATGAAGATGAGGCAATGTCGAGCTTTCCTTGGTTCTCTTTTTTCCCAAAGTCCCAGGAGCTGGATTGTGCAGGGAGTTTGGGACGGGGGAGGGTAAAGAAAGCTCAGGATTCCACATTTGCTCCTGCAAGCCTTCAGTGTGCTCAGAGTCATAAGAGTTAGTGTTAGCCTCAACTCAACCGTTAACAGGCTGTGATCTTGGGGTGTCACTCACTGCCTGTGAGCCTGGAAGTGGGGGTGTGGGCCCAGTCTCATGTGGAGGGCCTCTTGACTGCCTGGCGCCCTCCTTAGCTAGCCAGGTCAATAAGTAGACCCCAGGGACGGTAAGTCCAAGGGCAAAAGTCCTCACCTCCAGGAAGGCTACCCAGATTTCCCTTTTCCTCTGCCCAGCAAGACCCTCCATAAACTCTGAGATCCAGCTATGGGGGTGCCTCCTCTGCGGAGCCTCCTCTGACCTCCCAGGAGATGAGTCCTCAGCTTCCACCGTGAGTGGGGGGTCCTCACAGTGCGTGGGCGGGAGAGGTTTGCACACCGCCCTCCCTAGACTGTGAACTCCGTGTGGTCAAGCACCGGGTTTTACTCATCTTCGTGTTCCACACAGCAGGTGCTCGATGCTTATTGAATAGAGGAATAAATGAATAAATGTCAAAATTTTATATCCTTCATGACCCAGAGCCAACGTCACTGCCCTTGGAAGCCCTTCCTTGCCTCCCTGGGTGGAAGTCATCTCTCTTTTCCTCGTATTCTCAGGGATGCTCTTTGAATATCTAAAACGGGGGCTGGCAAACTTTGTCTATAAAGCACAAGATAGTAAATACGGCTTTGCAGGCCATATGGTCTCTGTTTCAACGACTCGACTTTACCATTTACCGCAAAAATTCAGTGCAGCCGTAGACAAAATATGAACGAAGGAGAGTGGCTGTGTTCCTATAAAACTATTTATGGACACTGAAATTTGAATTTCATGTAATTCCCAAATGTCACAAAATATTATTTTTCTTTTGATTTTTTTCCAACCGTTTAAAAATTTAAAACCATTTCTAGCTCACAGGCTGAACAAAATCAGGCTGCAATCCATATTTGGCCTCAAGGCCATTTTGTACCAACGCCTGCTATAGAACTTATTAAGATCTGCTTGCTAACAGGCTTATTTAGGTCTCTCCTATTATTCCATAAAAAGAGGGGACTAATTAAGAACATGGTCTTTGGAGACGGATGGGCCTGTATTCAAATCCTGATTCCAGTCTCCCTCCCTTCCTGAAGTCCGCAGGCAGAGCTGATGAGGACAAGAAGGCAGCCAGGATCCACCAAGGAGGATGTCATCCTTTCTAGGGTAACAGAGTACCAAAAACTGGCTGCTCGAAGCAACAGAAGTGTATCGTCTCACAGTTGTGGAGCCTAGAAGTTCAAAGCAAGGTGTCAGCAGGCCTCTTCTAGCTTCCGGTGATCGCCGGCCATCCCTGGTCATCCTTGGCCTGTGCATATCACTCCAACTACACGGCCTGCGTGTCGGCACATCTTCTTCCCCCTGTGCGCGTCTCTGGGTCCAAATTCCCCTTTTATAAAGACACCAGTCATACTGGATCAGGGCCCACCCTAATGACCTCGTTCTACCTGATTGCTTCTGTAAAGACTGTATTTCCAAGTGAGGTCACATTCTCAAGTACGGGGTGTTAGGAATTCAATGTGTCTTTCTTGAGGGGCACGATTGGACCCCGTAATAGCGGGTGTCAGAGCAGGGAAGCAGCCCAGCAGGGAGGCAGGCTGCAGGTGGGCGGGGGAGCAATGAAGCACGAATGCCGGGGACCGTGGTCTGGTTTCTCACGGCCAAGAAGGGAAGTGCAGATACATCAGGGAGAAAGCCAGAATGAACCCTGCGGTGTGGGACTGGAATTGGGGAGTGTCAGTGTGAACTTATGGTTTTCAAAATGATAGATATAGAAATAAATATAGCTATAAATATGTGTGTTCATTCATGCGTGCATGCGTTCATTCATTTCCTGGCTCTGTCCACCGAGAGGGCCTGAGGGCAGTGACACCCCAGCAGCAGCGAGCTCTAAATACCATTCTCCACTTTTCAGGCTGAGGTCCTTGGAGAAGTGAGTGAAGCTGGGGTCGGAGAAGTCCAAGATGAGACGGGAGTATCTTATGGTGCCTGAAAATCAGGAAAGTCTTAAAGAATGGAGGGAATATGTCAGAAGGACACGGGAGCCAGTCTGAAGGAGCTCTCCTGGCCAAATCTGGGATGACTGAAACATCCAGACACATAATGATAGCAATTGATTGTAATCCATTTAGTAAAATAGGTTAAATAAGCGAGTAAAACATGGCGAGGGAAAAAAAAGCTCTTCCTTCCAGTAGAATGCCAGTTAACAAATGTAGAAGGAATGATGCAATTAGAAAGTCACCATTCGGCAACCATCACAATAATATTTAATTTGGTTAAGGAACATCATTGGCTGCTAAATCAGTGAGTGGGACGATGGATGGTGTTTTACATAGTCTCCAAGTCTCTCTCCACAAAATACTCATTACAAAAGGGGGGGAGGTAAGTTTATGATGGAGACACTTGGCTGATGCCATCTTAATCCAGTGATCAGAGTGAATGCCACCAGTAAAGGGACAAATTGAAATTGAAACTTCATAAGACGCACCGGGAAGAATCCAGCATCACTTCTATGTTATTCTGGCAAAAAATGCACAGTGTGGGTCTAATCATGAGGAAACGTCAGACGAACCCAAATCGAGAGACTTTCTGCAAAGCGCCCGGTCTTCAGGCTTCAAAGGGGTCGAGGAGAACTGAGGCGAATGTTCCAGATTGAAGGAGGCTGGAGAGAGGTCACCATGAAACGCGATGTGTGGTTCTGGACTGGATCCTTTGCCATAAAAGACAGCACTGAGACAAGGATGGAAACGCGAATGGGGTGTACACGTAAAGGGCATATGGGGGTTCTTTGGACCATTCTTAACACTTTCCACATTTTGGAATTATTTCGGAATACAAGGAAAAAGGGAAAAATGCAGTGTTGCCATAGACCAGCTATGTGACTTTCGACAAGTTATTTCACCTTCGATGCCTCAGTTTCTTCATCTGTAAGGTGAAAATAATAACAACTCCCTGAAGGACGTGGTGAGGAGAAGAAGAGATCGTGTGAGTGAAGCTCAGGGTTCGGGGTCTGGCCGTAGTGTCAATGCTCAATCCGTGGTCGTTACTCCTATTACGTTTTGTCGATATTTTACTGTATTCCATGGAATCTAAGATGTCACCAATTGTAAGACGTTATTATTTTATATGCCACTGGGGAAATAAAAATATTCCCAATTAAACTGACAAAGTGATTCTTCTCATTTAGAATTTTTAATCCTTATTAAGAGCTCTTTTAGACACATAAATGTAGGGGTTTTTTTATCCTACCTCGTTCTATTGATTATATAAGAAGGAAATTAGAGGCAAACTGAACTGGTTGACGTGTGCCTAAAACTTCTCACGTTTGGTTCCTGGTGCTCCTGAGCGTTTCATTCAGAATGTGTGTGTCTTTGCTTTTCCACCCAACAGCATCCTCTGTGCCATCGAGGGCATCGGCGACACAGCATGACTTCTGTGAATGCTCCACTGTCATCTCTGGAATTTTCTTCCCAGCCACGACCACCCACCATTCTGTGTGTATTCAGACTTGTTACATGAGGACAATGAAGGCAGAAAGGCAGAAAGAAAAGCTAGGGGGAAGGAGGTTAGGACAGACAGTGAGGACAAATTTCGCCTCTTTCTTACACATTTGTTTTATAGCGGGCATCTGATTATTCCAGTATCTTTGTTTCTTGAGACTCTATATCTATGGTCTGTTGTTTCTGTTTCCTCTCTCCGTGGCGGCTCCTTTACTCGTGAGCCTGGTGATTGATGCTTTCGGCTTGTAGATGGGAAATTGAGAACGCTCCCTCCAGAGAGATTTGCACTCGTTTGTGCTGAGGCGGCAACACCGCTGCTCTGGACTCGATTTCAGTCCCATCCAGGGCCCTGAGTTCACGGCGAGAATCTCGACTTCGACTGCCCGTGTTCTTGGGCGCCCACGGCTTCCATTTCAGATGGTCAGGAACAGCATTTGCGCTGAGAGCAAATTCGACATCACGTTTCCTGTTTCGCCTCACTATTTCTGTTGATTTTATTTTTTGCTTTCGGCTTTTGTTTGAAAAGAAGGGATGGCCGTGAGAATTCCTTCACCTCTTGCGAGTCCAGCAAGGCGTTTAAAGACTAAGCTGATCTGGGATCTGGGGGTTTTGTAGTAAAGGGGGCTCTCGGAGGCTCCAGGTTGTCACGCCAACTGAAGTGACAGATCTCGCCCTGTCTCAGGGCCCTTGACTCACTGCGGGAAGTCACTGTGGGGCGGCAGAGGCTGACCTAACATTCTTTTGATCCCATGCAGGTGGTGAGCAGGGGCCTTGGGGGCCTTCCTCCCGATTTCTGCAGGGTGTTACCTCGCCCCTCAGCTGGCTTCTCTCCACTCCAAGGGTATTTCTGTTGGGGTTATTGACTCACCCTCTTTCTCAGTATTGCTTCTGACTGAAGGGGCAGAGAAGCACCCTGTGCCGGCCTGCCAGCCTCTTCTGTGACTCCCCTCGCACTCGCACTGTAAAATCGAGAGCACAAGTTCACTTCCATGCCCTCGACTGCTTGCTTTAGCTGCTGCTGGTACATTTTTGTGCAATTTTCGTAACAGATTTTTGTCTTCATTTTGATTAGTACCTGACAGAGATAGTCTATGATTTTGCTGCACTCTCGCATTTAATCTGGAAGCCGAAAATCTGTGTTTTTAACAGCACCTCCGAAGTTGCAGTCGGTTGTTGGGCCAGAATTTCAGAGTCAGGTACGGGGTCACCCCCCGTATGACCAAGTGTGTGTGATTGAGTCAGAATGGACAAGCAGAACAGAGAGGCTTGTGGACAATCCTGGAATCAGAAAGGCTTTGCCGATCACTTTCTTTAATTGAAGCCCTTAAGATGCAACCAAGTATAGGGCGATGCCGTACAAGTGAGTTCAAAACCAGGCACCATTCAGTACAGCCGCTCCTCAAAAATTTAAACAGAAGCACCACGTGATCGTCAATTCCAGTCCTGGATGCATTCTCAAAAGAAGCAGAAGCAGGGACTTAGACAATTGTGCACCAGTGTTCATAGCAGCGTTATTCACAGTATCTGAAAAGTGGAAACAACCAGAATGTCCATCCACAGATGAATGGGTAAACACACTGTGGTATGTCCATTCAATGGAACCTTGTTCAGTCTTAAAAAGAAGGAAATTCTGACCCAGGCTACCAGGTGGATGAACCGTGAAGACACTATGGTAAGCGAAATCAGCCAGTCACGAAAGGACAGCTGGCGTCTGATTCCACTTACGTGAGGCATTTAGAACGGTCACATTCATAGAGACAGAAAGTAGGGTGATGGTTGCCAGGGACCGGGTGGAGGTGGGAATGGGGAATGAATGGGTACAGACTTTCTGTCCAGGATGATGGAAAAATTCTGGAGATGGTCAGTGGTGATGGCTGCACGGCAATGTGAATATACGTAATGCCACTGAACTGGACGCTTACAAGTGGTAAAAATAGCAAATTTTATGTTGTGTGTATTTTACCACAATTTTAAAAAACGGACGTAACTAATTTACAGTGAAAGAAATCAGAGTAGTGGTTACCTTCGAGAGATGGGGAGGGGACACAACGGTGGTTATATGGGTGTGTTGATGTATCAATATTCTCTGCTGTACACTTAGGATTTGTGCACTTTAAAGCGTGGAAATTTAAATAATTTAAAATGCAAACACAGTAGAGAATTTTTTTTAATTAAATGAGCAAAACTTCATCAGTCCCAGACAGAGAGGACCTAGGCTCCACGACAAGGCAGTTGTGCAAGAGGCACAGAGCTGAGACAGCAAGCTTCTCTCAGACTAGATGGGATGCACGCCTCCTCCACCCCCTCATCAGGACCACACTGGGGAGCCACGCGCCGTCTCCCCCTTGGGATCGCTCACCCACATCAAAGGCGCCCCTCAGGAAGGTAAGTAAGCTTTTGTCTTGCTTGACTTGCTCTTGTTGCTTGCTTGTTCGTTTTCACATCTTTGGCAACTTTATTTTTTAAAGTCGAACAGGGTCAAATTCTGATATTCCATTTCAGGCCGCCTCACTGCTGGGTCCTCGTCACACCTCCTGGCAGTCCTGGTCACACAGGGAGCCCCGAGGCTGAGGTGCTTCCTTGCCCACCTGACGAAGGGGGATGACCGCTGCACTGGGAGGGGGAGCCGAGCTGCCAGGCGTGGGAGCAGCCAGTTATAGCAACAAGCCCAAACCTGGGAGAGGTAAGCCTTGCTCACTCGCTGCCGTGGGATAAGCCAAGTGCAAAACCCAGAGAGAGTGCTGACACCCCGTCCCCCCTGTGCCCCCTAGAACAGAGTATCTGCTGAGGGTCAGGGGGGCCCTCGGCACAGCACGTCAGCACAGACGTGGGTCCTGTCACTGTGTGAGAGCTGTCTTATGGACTCTCGGGTGGGGAGAGGGTGGGGTGGCTGGGAGTGGGGAAGTACAGGGAGCTGAGTCAGAGAGGGCAAAGGTGTCTTCAGGGGTCCCCTCCTTCCACCATAAGGAGGCCTCGGTGGAGGCACCTGAAGAAGGCCTCTGCCCAAGGCCTCAGATCAGAGGCCCAGGAATGCAAATATGTGAAGGAGCATGACGGGTCAGGGGCCTGAGTCCTTGACCGCAACTCCCTCAGAGACAGCCGTGCACCGCGTGTGCCCGGGCCAGCGTGGGAAGGCAGCCGCCCCCGAGGCCTGCCACGGGAAGCATGGCAGTGACCTGGGTGGGACCTGACAGTCACACACAGAACCAGAGTCCTCTCCGGCGTGGGCCTCTCAATGGGCAGTAGCGGGGGTCAGGCCTGCTCTCAAGCCAGCAAGAGGGAGCTTTTCAAGCTTCAGGGCAGTAGAAATCCCCCGAGACCTGAAGAAGTCCCTGCAGCCCAGCCCAGGTGTCGGCCTTCTCAGGTGCCAGGGCCCCGGGCCAGCAGTGGGCCGAGCAGACGGCGGGAGAACTCTGCCCACCTTCACCTCCGGGAGGGCCTCTCCCACGACTGGGCTCCTGGGGACCAGGCCTGGGTGTGGCCCCTTCTGGGGTCCCCAGCCCCCAGCCTGACCAGCACAACAGAGGAGCTCAGGGAGGACGGGCTGGATGGGAGCGCCTAAGTAGGAAGAAAGACCCTGCACATCCCTTCAGTTCCCTCCTCTCGAGCCCTGGACAGACCCCGCACCACCTGTCTATGATGGAAGGGACTGCACACCGGCAGGAGTGTCCCCAGAGAGCTCCCGTCCTACAGCCACCGCTCTGCCCTCCAGCGGGGGCTTTCTCTGCCCCGGTGGGGCATTCCAAGCTGTTCCAGGCCAGGCGTGCCCTTCCTGGCAGGAGGAAAGCAGAGACAGGCCAGAAGTCCAGCGGCTTTTTTATAGGTTCCCAGCCCCCCGCGCGCCCCTCATCCCTGCCCCTGCCCCTGACCCTCCGCCCTGGGAGGCATCCTCCTCCTCTCTCACTCATGTCTGCTCAGAGGAAACAGCACTGCTCTCTCTTTCTGCCTCAGGCTCCAACCTGGCTGCACACGGCACCGATACTCAGCCTGTCTTTATTTAAAACTTCCTATTTTGTTAATTCCGGATTTGGGGCATTAATTCTGATTTTTTTACAATGTTGCATTAAAATATTATTTATCTTGATTCTTGAGTGTTTTGCTGCCTCCCTGAATTTTACGCTCAAGGGGTGCCTCCCTCACTTTGCCTTAACCCCAGCCCTGCCGTGCTCAGGGAGTTACTCATTGAGTCACTCATTCGTTCATTCATTCATTCATTCTACACGCAGTCACTAAGGGCCTCCTCTGTGCCAGGGCATGTACTGGTTGCTGGAGAGAGAAATGTGAGCCACACACAAGGCAGGGTTGGGAAAAGACAGCCGTGAACACTGAGGACCATGGGGCAGTGTGGGGAGATGCAAGGCAAAAGGACGCGAGGGGAGTCAAAATAGTACTGGCCACACATGGGGGTTATCGTGCACCAGGCTCTGAGCTAAGGCCTTGCTGCACAGCATGCTTTGGTTCCCTCAATCCTTTGGGCCTTCCATGTCTGTAGATGCTTGTAAGTAAATAACAGATGGGGGTCCTGAGACCTGGCAAAGTTACATGCAGGTAATTTGCACAAGGTCACGCCGCGAGCAGTAGGGGAGGGGGAGTCCAGCCCAGGTCCGTCTGGCTCTGGGCTCTCACCTGCTCTGGTCGTTGCAGCCACCTCCCCCTGCATCCCCCTGGGGGTGTCCGGGAAGGCTGCATGGAGGAACTTTGCATTGAGCTGGCAGTTAGAGGGTGCGTAGGAGTTCACAGGGAGACAAAGTGGGGTACAAGCACAACATTACAAAGTCAGTGAGGCTTAGAAAAAAGTGGCTATCTTGCTGTCCACGATTCTGGGAAGCTGGGCAATCTTGTGAAGAGTCACTTGCACAGAAACAGGCCTGGGCCAGCATCGCTTCCTCTTTCTGCCCCTCCGTTTCCTAACGACGTCAGCATAAATAGGAAGCGTGAGAGGCGCTCTGCCGCCTGGAGACTGCAGCAGAAGGGCTGGTCTGTCCAGTGCAGAGAGGTATGGCCCGGCTTTCGCGGGCAGGCTACGGGTGGGGTGGGGAGCGGGGGCCGCGTGGGCAGCCTGGGATGGAAGGGCCAGGGAGGGCCTGGGGTTGAGTGGGCAGGGGAGCTCTGGGGCCCAGGGAGGTTAGAGCTTTGCCTCTTGGGAAGACCTGAGCCCAGACTCCTTGGGCAGCCAGTGGGTGAGGAGACAGCAGGGGGTGCGGACCTGCCGGGCTGCTGTGTGAAGAGCTGGGGAGGCTGGGCCTCACTGGCAGGATCCAGCTTTACTGACAACAGGGAGGTCGCCTGAGGTGGAGGGGAGCTCAGGCTGGGAGTCAGACATCTGTCTTTGCTTTGTCACTAAAGTGTTGGTGAGAGTGTCTTCTCCTGCCCTGGGCTTCTGTCTCCTCGTCTCTGGAGTGGGAACAGCACCGATAGGTCATGACATCCTGGTTTAGAAGGAGAGAGAGTGTGTGTGTGTGTGTGTGCGCGCGCACGCACATGCATGCGTGGATGTCCACAGGGATGCAGGGAGGCAGAGAGCCTGGAGGCGGAAGGTGAGGCCTGGAGCCTTGCTGTGCTCCAGCCCAGAGCTCGGGGAGCTTGGGAAACTGACTTTGGAATTTGAGGAGGGCCAAGTCCCTCGCCCAGGACATATTATTCCCGCTCTGGGAAGGGTTTTTCACTATCACACTCCGCCCTGAACTGCTGTTGCTTAGTGGGGTTTGGGCTCGGATGTGCACGTCTGTACCCAAGTCTGTTGTCTGGGTGGGTGGGCATCTGGGGGTGTCTGCATCAGGGTGTGTGCAGGTGTGTGCATTTGCCCTGAGGATGGGAGGACAGGTGTTTCTATGGGTCTGAATTGGAGTACAAGGCGCCAGTGGCAAGTTGCATCGCATGTGTGCAATTTTTAGTCATCAAACGCCCTGCTGTTATCTTTTTGCATATCCGGATTCTAATTTTCTCTACTGGCCATCTCTCCTGCTTTGTAATAGTTTTATAACGAGTAAAATCTATCCCATTAGCTTTTGCTCACTCTTGTTTTCATTCATCAGTTTTACTTACGGAGTGCTGTATCCACCAATACCGCAGGATATTTTGTGAGTTACTTAATATTAATCAAGTAAATACGTGGATATCTGCTTCATTAAAAATTAGAATGATCTAGAATTACACAGCATAAAAGATAAAGTCTCATTCATCCTGATGCCCTAGCCCCACATCCACTCTTTTTACCATATGTATGCTTCCAGAACATTTTCTAAGCATGATATAAGTATACAGTTTTTCTTTGTATGTAAATGGAATTATAACACACATACTGTTCTACGACTTGTTTTTTCATTTAATATTATATTTCAGACAACTTTCCACAATAATACACATTGATTTAACTTACTGATTAACCCTAAGAAATACGTGGCATTTATTGGTATGGACACTCAATGATTCACCAAATGCCATATGGATGAACACTTAGGTTGTTTCCAATTTTTCCACACTTATGAAAGTGTTTCTGCAGCCCAGATTCCTAGAAGCAGAATTGCTGGGCAAGAGATTTCGCAGGTTTAAAATTTTAGTAGATATCATGAGATCATCCTCAAAGCAGCTGAATTAACGCACAACCCCATGGTTGTGCATAAAAAGGCCAATTTCCCTTTAGGAAAACGAGCAATCTTTTAATTGTGTCCAATGTAATGGATGAAAATTATCTGATTCTTACTTCTGATGTGCGTGAAAATCTCCTCTGTCCATTTTTTGATGGGTTCTTTGTCTTCTACGAATTAACTTTGGGTGATTCATTTATTATGTGTATTAGCAATTTATTTTCACGTGTTGAAAATATATTCTTCCGGATTATCACTTGTCTTTTTTTTACCATGTTTAAGATATCTTGTGTCGTATAAAAATGTGTTAATTGCTTTAAGTCAAATCTGTCATTACTTTTTACTTTAAGATTTCTGGATTTGGTGTCTTGTTCAACTTCTAAGATTAAAGAAACATTTTTAATGCTTTTATCATTTTAGTTTTGGCTTTTAGATCTTTAATCTGTCTAGAATTTGGAAGGGTGAAGTAGCGTGTAAAGTAATAATCTAACTTAAAAAAATTATCAGGGGCCGGCCCGGTGGCACAGCTGTTAAGTTTGCACTTTTAGCTTTGGTGGTCCAGGGTTCGAGGGTTCAGATCCCAGGTGTGGACCTACGTACTGCTTGTCAAGCCATGCTGTGGTGGCATCCCAAGTATAAAGTAGAGGAAGATGGGCACAGATGTTAGCTCAGGGCCAGTCTTCCTCAGCAAAAAAAGAAGAGGATTGGCAGCAGATGTTAGCTCAGGGCTAATCTTCCTCAAAAAAAGAAACATTATCAGCTGATTGTCACGATATCATTAATTACGCGTGTGCAGCCCATCCTCTTTCTTCAGTGACTTGAAACTCCATTATTACTTCCCAAATTCCTACTTGGTTATTTTTCTCACTGTCTTCTGTTCCATTTGTCCACTATTATATGCCTTACTATTTTCTCGCTAATAGAGCAAGTCTCTCATGTTTGGTTTGTTATAATCCAGAATCAGTTTATCAAGCCTGTTAAAAATCCTTTGGAACTTGGATTCAGAGATTATTGAGAAGGAGTGGCCTCTGGAGATGACAGTAGCAGACAGCATTCTCCTGTCTGTGCCTTTGACAGGGACGGCACTAAGATTTCCCTTTGACTCCAATGTTGCAACAGGTTTCCAGTAGATACCCAGAAATCCCAACCTTTCTTCCTTTGCTGAAGTTTGTTTGTTTAATCAGGAATGGCTTTTGTATTATCAAATATTTAGGAGCGTCTGTCAAGATAAACTCACCCTTTTTTTCCTTTTAATCTGTTGATCTGTTTCCTTTCATCATAAATAGATTTCTCAATGGCTCTCCATCCGTTTCTGGAATAATCCCAATGTGACCAGGCTGCATTCTTCTATTAAAGTCTTTGTCAGATTGTCCTATGAAATTGTTTTTGTCTGGAACGAATTTGTGTTTTGCATTTCCAGTTTTTATTGCTACCGTTAAATTTCTTCAAGAGTTTGAGAATTTGGGTGTGCGTGTTTATTTTGCGCGAGAAGGCGTTAGGTTTTTCTCTTCTCTTTTCTCCTTCGCTCTCCTTTTCCCTTGCCTCTCCCCATCATCCTCTTGCTCAGTGCTTAGCTCTCACTCTTAGTGATTTTTAACCTTTATATTTTTAACATGCATATTTAATATATATCTTCCATTAGCATTTGGGCTTAACCTATAAATGCTTCTTCAAAACAACGCGAGATCTTTTGCAAGCTTTCAGTTCTCCTCTGCTTTCCACCCGCAGCCTCACCACCACCTCCCACGATAAAATCATCTGAGTTTTACTTCAATATTGCTATCATGTATTTATTTATTTTCACTTTATACGGTAAAACTTCTTCTTTACTTAACTACAAGTCTTATTGGTTTCTTTTCTCATGCCTGATTCCAGTATCACACGCTAGCTCTTTCTTGGACATTTTTTATTCTGAAATAAATCTGAGAGTAATTTTTTCAGAAAAGATCTGAAAAACTTTCTTTCTCCTTACATTTCTAAAATGTTGTGTGTTTTTTTGCCCTCGAACTTCAAAGTAAGCTTGACTTTTTATTATTCTAGGTTTAAACATATTTTCCCTCAGTATTTTCAAGACAGCACTATCTAGAGTTCTGGGTCGCTTGTGAGAAAGTCTTGCCAACCTGACCCTTGTTCCATTGAAAAGAACCTGTTTGTTTCCTTCTGGAAGCTTCTAGGATTATGCTTTTGTTCTTGGATGACTGAGAATTCACCAGTGTATGACTGGGTTTGGCACTATTAAAAATGAATCTTTCTCTTCAGTTAGTGGACTCTCTCCTTGTAAGCTCCCTGAGATTTTCTTCTATTTCCAATTCCATCTGTTTGGTTGCACATGGAAAATCCCCAAACAACAGTGGCTTAACAATACACATTTGTTTTTCCCTCACATAACAGTTGTCCAGAGATAGGCCGTCTCAGGCTGGTACGGTAGTTCTACAGCAGCAAGAGGGATCCAAGTTCCTCTTCGTCTGTTGTATTATCCTTGTATATGGCGCCCCTCCTGGACGTAAACTTATGGTCCAAAATGGCTGCTGGAGCTCCATCCATCACTTCCAAGTTGCAGGCTGGAAAAAAGAGAAAAGGCAGGAGGGCAAAAATGGACCCTTTCTACCTGAGCCAACTTCCTTTAAAGCAGCCTTTTTTGGAAGGCACACCCAGTGCTTCTACTCGCATCTCCTTGGACCCCATTTAGTCACATGACCACACCTAGCTACAGGAGAATGTGGGAAATATAATCTCTTATTCTGTGCAGCAATAAGCCCAGCTAAAACCTGAGTTTCTGTCACCAAGGAGGAAGGGGACAGCTAGGTAGGGCTGACACTGTCTGTCATTCCTGCTCTCAATTCTCTTTGTCCTCTGCTTTCCACCCACAGCCTCACTGCCGGCTCCCACGATAGAGGCTGGAGCTCCTGGACGCCTGTTCCGGGCCTCAGCTTTTCTCTAAGGTTTTCCACCTCCTCGCCCATTTGCTCTGTCTTCAACATCTGCCTTTGTAACACCATCATTTGTAGCATTCATTCTGTGATTTGACCCGTAATTGAGATTTGTTTTTTGATTATGGATCTCATACCTTCAAATTCAAAGAACTCTGTTTATTTGTTCTTTTAAACGGCTCTGATGTCTCAAGTCTCCCTGAGGCTGCCAACTTAAATGTCTTAAAGTTTTGTTCTGTGTTTGCTGTATCTGTGCGTGTCCACAGAAGTGTCTTTTGAGACAGCATATGGCAAAACGGACACGCATGACACCGACGGTGGGGAAATTCAACCCCAGTCCGTCCCTTTCCAGTCGAGGATCGTGGACCATTTATTTAATGTCCCTATTTCTGTTTCCTCATCTGCAAACCGGAGATTCTAACAGTAACCTGCACATGGATGTGTTAACGTCTGAACAGCGCCCGGCTCACAGTGAGCACTTAATAATTGTCAGCTGCCGACACGAATTCTCTGCGTGCACGTAAATTTCATGCTTGTGTCCTTTGATGACACTAATTTGTTTTAACCGTTTATGGTGTAAAGATAATAATCTGTTCTCCATAATTTTGGCGCTTTTCTTTTTTTTGCCCTTTGTCCTTAGCTTTTTGCTTCTACTATTTTTCTAAAGTACAGAAGATTTTGCTTTCATGTACTATCTGCCAGCCTTTGTCTCTCTGATTTTTTTCCACTGCTTTTAAGCTTAAACAGTTGAAAAGTATTTGCTTCTATGGTCTGCAAGTTTAATACGATTTGACTTCTTACATTTGAATTTTTAATTAGCCTGGTATTTGGGGACTGGCATGAGATAGGGCCTTGGGCTGCTGTGTTTACGTTGTTACCCAATTATCTCAGCACTTTTTATGATTCCACCACTTCACATTTATTCATGATTTCTCCTTCATCATACAGTACATTTGGGGTAAAATAGAGTTTCTCTGGTCAGTATGGCCACTGATCCATCCTCTGCGTATATGTTTGTTTGTTTGTACGCACACAACAACACAACTGCTTTACTTATCAGATCTTTGTAATAAATTTTGCTATTGGGGTAGAGCCTCCTTATCTTTAAAAATCTCATGAACTGGCCTCATATATATATTTTTTCTTCTGAATTCTTGCAAAATTATCTTGTTAGATTTTGATTGGAATTGTGTTCAACCTATCACTTATTTGGGGATGAATTTCTTTCTTTACACATGTAGTGTTTCTACTTATGGTCAGATCCAAATAGAAGCTCTAAACTTTTAGGCTGGTCCCAGGTGGGCACAGCAAGCTGCACCAGCCCACACAGACGCTCCCTGGCCTACCCCGCGGCCTTGCCCCCGTCATCAGGCGCTAAAGTGGACAAATACTCTCCCCCAGCTCCAAACGAACCTGCTCTTTTTCCTATCGGACCGACTGCTCTGTCAACATCGCCGCGTGTGGTCCTCCTCACAGCCACCCTGTGAGCTAGGTGGACCTGTGCCCATTTTACAGATGCAGAGAGCAAGGTGCAGGGAGCATTGGTGCGTTAGCCCAGGTCACGAGCATGGGAGGGGCAGAGTCTGTGCTGAAGGCCAGGTTGGCTGAGCCCAGAGCTCTGCTCTTCCCACCACAACAGCACTGCTCTGGGTCTGAGTGTGTGCACGCGTGCGCACCCGTGTGTGTGCACGTGTGCGTCTTGAGTGAGTTTCAGACAATCTAATGGGGAGGAAAGAAGCCACGGCCATCTGTTGTGCTCTCCTGGGTACTTCCCAGGGCTGGACAAAATGAAAAGAGGAAATCCCCAGCCTTCTGCGGGGAAAAGGGAACCGGCATTCAGAACATGGTGTGGGAGGGTGACTTTAAAGGGAGGAGGACGGGGACAGCACCAGGTCCAAGGGTGAGAGTAAGTGTGTGAATGATCGTACATGAGTGAGGTCACACCCAGGGGAGGACACACCGGCCCCCAACACCCAACGACCCCAAAGCAGGGGTGGGTGAGCGGCCCATGGGGAGCTGGGAACAGATCATATGCCAGGCCACCCGCTCAGGCTTTCCCCTCGCCGGGGCATTGCCCAGGGGTACCCGAAGCTCGACCCAGCGAGAACCCACTTCTTCAGAGGTCATTAGTGCATCTCTCTCTCAGTCACGCCCCAGCCCCTGACTCAGGGGAAGGGACTGTCCCAGGTATCAGGCCGAGGCAGCCGAGGGGCGGGAGCCCACGCAAGGCCACTCCTGGCTTCACTCTACAGCACAGTCTGAGTCCCTGGGGCTACAGGATGGGGAGGGGGCAGCTCTCAGCTGATACCTCCGTCCCCAGGCCTAAGGAGCACAGCCCTGGAAGGAGGAGTCGCAAGAGCCCATGACATGGGTCCGACCTGGCCGTCTGCCGGAGAGGAACATAAGATTCCAGGGCAGTGAGGACCCTGAAACAAGCTCAGACCTGGACCTACCCTGTGCCGGCCCCGTTCTCATCCAGACTTGACCTCAAAGATGGTGCTGACCCGGGAGCTACTCCCTGTCGCCCTGCTGGCTCTGTGCTGGGGGCTCAGTGTGGCAGGGGCCCAAGGTGAGACCGAATGCTCCCTGCCCTGGTCTGACCCCTCCCCACTGCTGGGCCCCTGTCCTGAGGAAGCTTTCAGACCCTATGGGCTCCCATCGTCCCTCCCTCCCCCCTCCCTCCGCCCTCCCTTTCCTGTTTCTTCTCTCTCTCTGATCTTCCCTGGCGTCTCCCTCTTCCTCCTCCCACACTCCTGCTCATTCCTCTCTGGCCTCCTGTAAACTCCATCTCCACTTGCATCCCTTCTCTGCCCACATTTCTCAGTGTGGCATTCAAGGCCTCTAACCTCCAGGCCAGCGGTTCCAGTCTTTTCTCTGCCCCTCCTCCCCCACCAGACACTCTGCTGCTCTGACGACGACCTTGACCGGCTCCCATCTCTGCGCCTTTGCTCCTGGGGGATCCTTGGTCTGGGGGTCTCTCCCTGCTTTGGCCCCAGCATCCTCCTCCTGCCTGGAGGCCCAGCTGGGACGCTCCTTGGGCTCCCGAGGCCCGCGAACCCTCCTCCCCGGGGGCTCCCAGAGAACTTGGCTTCTCTGATAACCGCCGGAGCCACAGTCCCTTCTCCCACCATCAGGCCCGGCAGCTGGCCAGGAGACCAGGGTGGGGAGGTCAGGGAAGGGCTCCGCCACGCTGCCTCTTAGAGGGGCTTTTGTGCCTCTCCTCCCAGGCTGCCCCGAGGGTCAGGGCAGGGCCTGTGCCTGACGCACGTCCCGTCCTGGGGTGGGACGGAGACCTGGTCCAGGAGCAGGACGCAGCTGGGGCTCAGGGAACGCTCTGTGATCGACCAGAATATTCTGTTTCTCTCCAGACAGCAGGGTCCGCAATCAGGACCCTCACACACACAAAGCCCCCGGCCCCGCCCAGGGCCCCTGGGTTCTCTGCCTCGCTGCCGGGAGCCTTGACAGGACTCTGGGGGACCCCCCAGTGCCCGGCGCCCGGGAGGGGCAGGGAAGGGTGGTGGCTAGGACACCTGGAGGGGAGAAGTGTGACCCCTTCCTGTGTCCCCCTGGGCAGGGACCGTCCCGCTGCAGACCCTGAGCTGCCACAACGACTACACCAGCCGCATCGTCTGCAGGTGGGCGGACGCGCGGGACGCCCCACGGTTCCTCAACGTGACTCTGCACCGCAGGCTGAACGAGTGAGCGACACCCCGGGGGCCCGGGGGCAGGGAGGGGCCCCACCACGTGGGGCTGTGCTGGGTGGGGGGCAGAGAACAGAGGAGGGGAGGCACCGCCTGGGAGCTCCTCCTCCGGCGGGCGGCCTGCCAGGCCCAGGTGCTGGTGTCTGATGTCGGGGTTTCCCGGAAAAGCCGTCTACACTAATGCGGTTGATGATGGTGATGGTGACAGTCTCATTTCATCACAAATTAACGAAACCGCCCCACGGAGCGTGTCTCAATCCACTGTCACTGTGAGGCAGGCAGGGCCGGGATGTGCCGCCCAGTTCACAGAGGAGGAGGCTGAGGCCCTGGAGGTGAGGTCCCTCCCCCGGCCACACGGTGGGCGAGCGGCTGAGAGGGACCAGTGTCTGGCCTGCGGGGTGGGCTCTGTGTCTCCCCGAGGCCCGGCCACCTCCAGGGTGTGGGTCTGCTCCTCTCTCCTCACATGGTCTCCTGGGCGCATGCTGTGTGGGAGGGATCCTCACACCATTCCGGGTTTGGGGAGAGTCTCGCTCACCATAACAGAGACCATTAAACAGCCAGCGTCACAGGGCACCCCCCAGAGCCAGCTCCTCAAACCCCCAGCATCGCCCCTCAGCTCTCTCTCTTTCTCTCCCGGGAGCCTCCATCCTCCTTCTCCACTCTCCTGAGTCCCTGCTCCACCTTCCCCCCTCCGCTGTGACCCCTCCTCCTGCCCTGAGACCACAGACACCCCCAGAGGAGAAGCTCCCAGCCCCCTCCACGCTCACCCTGCCCCCACATCTACCCGCCTCCCGGGATCCGCCTGTGGGATTTCCTGTTCCTGTCCCTTCTGAGGCGGCAGCTGGGGTCCCATCTGGTCTTGCTGCTCAAGGACATTGCTGCCACCAGGGTTCCCACTCTCCCTGTGCCGTGGTTGGGCCCTCCCCCAGGATCATCCCCAGTCACTGAGCCCACGGGCCCAACCGGCTTACAGATGCCACCCATGGCTGCAGGCACCTCCTGACCCCCCTCCTCCGGCCGGGGCCACCCTCTTCTTCCCTTTGAGGTGACTCTCCTCTAAAGAGTTGTCTACACCACTGTCTCCAGTGCCTTTCCAGTTTTTCTCTCCTGAACCCACTCCCCCCGGATTCTGCTGCCCCCACCGGGCCACCTGAACGGCTCCTGCCAAGGGCAGCCAAGCCCTCATCGGTGCTGAGTCTGAGGGTCGGTCTCAGCCTTCTTCCTGTGGCCCCGCGGGCAGCCCCCGGCTCAGAGGGATGACTGCGTCCTCCCGGAGTGCCTGCCTCTCCTGCCTCCCGGCCCCCACACTCGCCCCTCTCCGGGTGTCTCCCTGGCCGGCCCTTTTCTGTCTCCGTGTCTGCTCCCTTCTTTAGTCTCAGTCTTGAAGGGGGAGGTGGGGAGTCCCTGGACCCCTAGTCTGATGTCTGACCCGGTGGGCGGAGACCCCACCTCAGGCTGAGGGCTGACGCTCTCCACACTCTCCAGCCGAAGCTCCAGGCCAGCAGGTGAGCTTGCCTCTCCCCACTGTCCCTCCGATAACAGGTGTCTGCAACCCCAATGTCCTGAACCAAATTCCTGCTCTGCCCGCAAGGTGTGCCCTCGCCCAGTCCCCCCATCTCACTTCACCAAATGGGGGCTCCTGTGGCTTCAGCCACACAACTGAGGGCTTTTTGGTTGTTGTTTTTTCATCTCTCTGGCCACTTTCCTTCCCCACCACGACATCCAACCCATCAGCCAATGCCGTCAACTGGATCTTCAAACAGAACCTGAATCCGGCAAATGCTAAGACCATCGCCCTGGTTCAAACCACATCCTCTTGCTTGGATATTCTAGAAGCCTCCTAAATGGGCTCTCTGTCTCCAGATTTGCCATCTCCCCTCCACCCAATCTATCCACAACCCAGCAGCCGGAGGAATCCTTGCAAAGCATACATCAAAATATGTTACTCCCTTGCTCTGAACTCTCTAAATTTTCCTGACTTATGGTGAAATCCAAATTCCTTAAATTCCCTTTAAGTGCTGGCCTCCCGTTCCCACACTCAACTAGTCTCCTAGACCTCCCACCCTCACGTACTCCACCCTGTGCACACTGATTAACTGCTTAGTCATGGAGCACTGCAAACCTGCACCTGCCCCAGGGCCTTTGCACTTGCTTCCCTTTACCTGAAATCCCCTTTCCCCAGAATTTGCATGGCTCCTTCCCTCACCTCCTTCAAGTTTCTGTTCAAATGTCACCTTTTCCAAGAGGTCGTCTCTGTCTCCCCATTTCAAAGTGCATCCTCCAACCCGGCCTTTCTGGTCTCCTCATCCCCCTTTATCGGTAAGCACTCAATAATGTTTGTGAATGACTCATTCTTCTTCACACTGAACTGACCTGTGTCCCCTCCTAACAGGGAGCCCCCGCAGCCAGTGGCCTGCCATCTCAGTGATGACACGTCCTTGTCAGACCACATTTATCCCAGCTCTGTGCCCAGAAGATGCGTCATTCCCTACAACCTTTTCGTCCTTGCTGACAGAGACTATTTCTCATTCCGACCAGACAGGCCTCTGGGTGCCCAGCTCAACATCAATCTGGCCCAGCATGGTGAGGCCCGGGGGCCCTGGCCAGGAGTGGTCCCTGTGTGGACGGTGGGCCCTACGGGTGGCTGGATGGCAGGAGGCAGGCCAGGGAGCGAGCGTCTTCCAGGGGTGGAGACCCTGGCTCGGGGTTGGGTTTGGTCTCCTGGGGGAAGAGGACGTGGTCTCCTTGTGATGGGGGCGTTGGAGCAGGTACAGCGTGAGGGGCCCGGTCAGAGGCACCTGCCCCACCTCACCCTGGCTGCTCCACCGCCTGCCAGGACACTGCCTGCCAGCACTGAAGGCGTCCCTTCCAGAGCATTCCTTCCTATGCAGTCATAAATTATATCCTGAAAACTCTCCCATCAACATGATTTCATCCAATCTTTGCAACAACCCATCGTATAGATGAGGCACTTGAGACCCAGAGGGGCGACATGACTTTTCCAGAGCGCCCCCTCTGGGCAGTCCTGACAGTGATGGGTCAGACGTGCCGAGCGCTTGCTGCACTGCAGAGACGGAGGTCACCACCTGGTGGCCCTCGCTGAGTGGCCCCAATGTGTGCGCCACGTGTGCACAGCGGCCTATGAAAGCCAATGGTCTTGAGTGGGTGTCAGTGATCACTTTACATAGTTAGGCTTCCTTTGACTGTAGATTAGACAGAAATATAATGAGCACTTCAATCTCATTAATTCAATTTTATCTGTGCTTAGAATGAGTCTAAAATAAAGGTGTGTGTGGGAGTGGTCATTTTTTAAAGTTAATGAATATTCATCTTCATTAACTTTAAAAAATGACAAGAATCCTGCAGCTGGCTGGCTTTTAGGAAACACTGCTTGACATTCTCTAATCATCACAATAATGCGTGATGTGAGCGTGTGCTACTTTTTTAACCCCCTTTGACTAACGATGAAACTGAGGCTGAGAGAGCAAGAAACTTGCCCAGGGGTACCCAGATGCTGGTGACTTTAGCACCCTGGGTCCCAAACCCTGGGCCACCCTGCTGCCCTTGCAGGTGTCAGAGGGGAGGGGGCTCGGCCGCTGTTTCCGGCCTCTCTTCATCCCCGTGGCATGAAGCTGTTGCCTGGAAGAGGGGATGGGCAAGGCTGTGGTGCATTCATTTCAAACAATGTCTCAAAATGTGTGTTGGATGGATGAGAAAGAGGACGCTCCAGGTGGAGCTCAGGTACAGGCTGGAGAGGCCGGAAGCACCAGGTGTCCTCTTGAGTGATGGCTCACTGAAGGCAGGTATGTGCCACGTGCTGAGGGGCAGGGGGCAAGGAGCCCTTGGGGGCTCAGGACTGGCTTCCCAGATGAAGAGCTTCCCAGGGAGATCTGAAGGGTGGAAGGAGGAGAGAGCAGGAAGAGCGCTTCCGGCAGAGGAAACGGAGGGTGCGAAGGCTGGGAGAGCCCGGAGGGTGAGGCAGGTTGGAAAAGCGCTAATAACTGTGTCCCGGGAGCATCAGGGTCAAGAAGGCTGGACAGTGGGAGGAAGGAGAGGGGAGATGCTTCTGTGCCCTGCAAGGAGGTCACCAGTTAGGTGGTGGAGAGCCTCTGAAGGGGAGGGACATGATCAGACATAGGTGTGAGGATGCCGGAAGTGGGCGATGTGCAAGGTAGATGGCAGGGGCTAGGAGGGGGCAGGAGGCTGGAGCCGTGGGAGAAATGATGAGGCTTCAACTGGGGTGTGGCCAGAGGATGGGACACAAATCAAAGTTAGAATCTGCATGCAATTCGTTCACTATCTGTTCTTTCCTGGAGCACCTACGTCACCAGGAGAGGAGCCAACAAGCCAGGCAGTATCCCCGCCCCGTGGACCTATGGCCTGGTGACAGGGAAGGCGTCACACTGGAGATGGGGAGAACTTAGCACTGGGAGGGGAGGGTGGCGTATCGCCCCCTGGAGCGTATGTTGAGCAGGAGGTCAGTCCAGCCCAGACCGTTCTGGCAATGATTCTGGGAGGTTGCGAGGGGCTGGGGAGGGGACAGACGGACGTCTGATCTGCTCTGAGACTCCCACATTTGGAGATCTGGACATTTCGCTTCCTCTTTCAGTTTCTCCAGCGGTGAAATGAGCTGGTGGGCTAAAATCCCTCAGGTGGGATGAATAGGTTTTCGGTTGAGTTCCCAGTCGGTTCGATTGGTAGCAGCTTCCCAGAGCTCTGTGCCGAGAAGGGTACCCTCCATGTCAGGCTCAGGGGCCAGGCGCACAGCCAGTGATGAGTGACGCCTGCACGGTGGTGGGCCGTGAAGGGGCGCCATGTACCCCCCATTCTGGGCTTAGGATTTTCTGAAGGTTCCAGCTCTGACAGGCTCTCGCTCACCGTGTTCAGGTCCAGCATGGGACAGTTACATCTCGTTTGGGCTCTCTCTGAATTTTTTGGGTTTGAAAGTCATCCCTCAGCATTTAGACACAGAACCTTCAGGAAGACAGGGGCCATGAATCACTGAGTCTGCTCGCCAACCCTGTCGGTCCCGGCAGGTGTTGACTTGCTGTTGGTTGATGGAATGATTTCAGGAAAAGTCTCTGGAGGTTGCTTACACGTGTTTATTCATTTACTCACTCAATCATTCGCTCACTTTGTCTCCCAAATTCCCTGGACCACGGCATCTCAGGCCCTGGGAATAGGGAAGGGGGTCAAGACCCAACCCCTGTCCCCCACGGGCTCCTCGACTACCCGGGGTGGCAGACATGGATACACATAAATCCTCCAGCCTTGTAAGGACCACACAACCGGCTATGGTGGGGCCAGAAAGGGCAATGGATTCTGCCTGGGGGACTGTCTGGGAAGATTCTAGAGGAGGAGACGTTTATGCTGGGCACCGAGAGGTGCAGCACGCTGGGCAGGGGGAAAGGGAAGGAGAGCGGGCAGCGGGAGAGGCAGCGACGTGAGCCACAGCACGCTTTGCTGGGAAGGAGGCCACACAGGCCACATGGTGGGCAGTGGGGGCCCAGGGGCAGAAGGAGGCTCCTCTTACAGTTTCATTGTCAGCACCCCTGACGGAGCTCGTGTTCTGTGTACACAGCAATCTGCACAGCTAGGACCACGTTCCCACTGATCCCATGGTCCTGCAGCTGAGGGCCTAGGGCCCACGGAGGAGAGGGGTCTTGTCTAAGGTCACTGATCTGGTGGGGGCAGTGCTCCACCTGGAACCCAGGTCTGTCCACACGAAGGCCAGCAGGGCCTTGACTGCTGAGCAGGCTTCCAGCCCCTCATGGGCCCTTTGCTTCCTCTCCCTCCAGTGCAGCCCCCCGCCCCCAAGGAGCTCCAGATCACTAATGCCAGGGACCATTTCCTGCTGACCTGGAGTATGGCCCTTGGGGATTCCCAGAGCCACTGGCTGTCCAACCTGGAGTTTGAGGTGGTCTACAGGCGGCTTCAGGACTCCTGGGAGGTAGGGACCATGGCCAGCTCTGCCCCCAGCCCACAGGGACGCAGCCCAGCCAGCACATGCCCCACAGCCCCTCTCTCTCGACAGGACGCCCCCACCCTCCTCTCCGACTCCTTCCAGGCCATCCTGGGGCCAGAGCACCTGCTCCCCAGCAGCACCTACGTGGCCCGAGTGCGCGCCCGGCTGGCCCCAGGCTCGGGGCTCTCAGGACGGCCCAGCCAGTGGAGCCCGGAGGTCCGCTGGGACTCCCAGCCAGGTAACGAGGTCGAGCTGGGGCGACCCCCCTCTGCAGGGAGGGGGTTGTTACAGCTCCCAGGCAGAAGGGGTCCAGGGGTCCACACTGCGTGATTCCCCGGACCTCCCATGCTGCCTGTTTGGAGCCGCTCCCCGGGACCCCCCATCCCCAGGTGACCCTGCAGAGGCGGCAGCTGCAGCTTACTCACTGCTGGGCCCCAGGGTGCCACACACGTTCTGACGGGGAGCAATCCCAATAATAGTGACAGTGGCCTTGCGAGCAGCTCTGCTGTCCTGCAAGCTGTACCGCGTGCAGACACACCAGCGTCACTGTGTGACACCCCTACCCTGGAACGTGGACGCTCTCCCGTTCACACAGGCGTATGGAGGTCCACGGAATTCTCTCTGATCTGTGCTCACCCGGCCGGCAGGTTCAGGCTGACGTTTAAGCCCTGGGCTCTTTGGCCCCACGGCCCGTGGTCTCTCTGCGATGAGTCTCATGGTGGCCGCTGAGAGCCGGGCATGAGCGAAGGAGGGAGTGAGTGAGGGACTGTCTCCCCTCCCAGGGGACGAGGCCCAGCCCCGGGACCTCCAGTGCTTCTTCGACGGGGCCACCGCGCTCAGCTGCTCCTGGGAAGTGAGGACCGAGGTGGCCAGCTCGGTCTCCTTCGCCCTCTTCTACAGGTCCAGCCCCGACGCGGGGTGAGTGCCCCCTCCTCCGTCCCCTCCCCTCCTCTGGCCGTGCCCTCTCCAGGCCTCCTCCTGGGTCTGGGGGCCCCAGCAGCAGCCTCAGCTCATCCCGAGGTCTCGTCTCCCCCGTGGTCCCCGCCTCCCCCCGTCCTCACCTCCGCTGTGGTCCTCAGGGAGGAGCAGTGCTCCCCAGTGCTGCAGGACCAGCCCGGCAGCCCCTACATCCTGCACCGATGCCAGATCCTCGTGCCCGACCCCAGGACCCACAGCCAGTACCTCGTCTCTGTTCGGCCAAAGGAGGAAGAGAAATTTATCAAGAGCTCAGAGAACAGTGAGTTTGCCCCCAGCCTTCTGTGCGAGGGTCTTGGGACAGCTCTGTTTTATTGTGTAACCCAAGTAAACTCAGGGCTCCTCATGGCCCAGTCTCCACGTGCGTCACTTTCAACACAAATTGGTCCGCTGAGAAAGTGAACAAAAGTGACTCTAATCTTTGTTCAAGGTTCTCAAGAAGCAATATACAACAAAGACAATGGCAACTCCTAGGAAGGAAAATTCTCTTGATAATCCCTAGGAACACATCCCTAAAATCTTTTGCCTCTGTTCCTTTGGCTCTGCGTTCCTCTAATTCTGCAGCTGCTCTGAAGCTCCTACTGGCCAGCAGGGCTTCCTGGTCCTCCCACCAAACTTTCCCTTTCACTCACTGATTGGATTGTTCTCTTTTAGGTTTCCAGAGTCCTCCACTGACTGATATTTGTAGTCTTGCTCTATGATTTACTTCTGCAATCAGGGAAGGGGTGCGTGCAAATAAATTGCAATTCCTTGTGTGTTAACATCTCTGATTCCTGTTATGTAGCAAGGACCCCAAGCAAAGGAAACTCCCACGTTGCTTGATCATGATGACCAAGCTCTTCCACCCAGTCTGTGCCCTGTGTCAGAAGTAGCAGCCAATTTCCCCCATGTCCCCTGGATTTGAATCCGCCACTTGCTCTCTGGGAATCTGCTGGGTTGCCATCTTTGTCCCTACCGCTCAGTAGCTGCCTGTCCTTGGCAAGTTACTCGATTGTTTTGGGGCTCAGTTTCTCCCTCGGTAAAATGTGACAAGTTGATGGCACCTACTACATAGAGTTGTTATTGGAATTAAGTGAAATAAGTCATGCATGTTGAGCATTATAACAGTGCCTAGATCATAGTCAATACTGTAGGATAGATCCAATTAATAGTGATTTTGTTTTTACTGAAATACTAGGAGCACCCCATGCTTTGGGTCAGCTCACTACAAACGAATGTGTCTCAGCATCTCCCAAGGGAAGGGGTGCTCGGGTCAAAATAGGTGACATGGTGAAGTGGGGGCACAGGGACCCCGAGACGGGCAGGACGTGGGTTCTGGGCCAGTGGAGGTGGCACCTCTGACCAGCATGGAAGACAAGGAATGTTCGATCAGAGGAATGTTAGGAACATGTTCCCTAAAAGTGTCCCTCCCTCCAGTCCAGATGCCTCCCCCGAAACTCAATGTGACCAGGAGCACAGACGGCTATGTCCTGCTCTGGAAAGCGGAGGAAATGATGTACAAACACATAGGCCATACCTTCCAGGTCCAGTACAAGAAAGACACAGCCTCATGGGAGGTGAGGGCCTGGGCCCCGGGAGGGGCTGGTGTGGGGAAGGGGCTGGGAGACAACACACAGGAGGGCGACACCTGCCAGGTGCCTGGCTCCCAGCAGGTGACCCGCAAGAGGAAGCCACTGGGACTCGGTGTCATGACCCCAGGTGGTCAGCAGGTCACCGTCCCATCCCTTGGTGAAGGAACTGAGGCTCCCGGAGGTCATGTGACTTGGCCAAAACTAACACAGCCGACTCAGAATTGCAAAGGGGGCATAGACGCCAGGGTGGGGAGGGCGGAGGGACAGCTGCATGAAGGGTTTGCCAAAGTCATAAAGGGGACAGTTCTTCAGAGGAATCTCACCTGGACTCAGACGTGCAGCTGGTAGAGCAGAGCAGCTTCTGTGGAGTCAGGCAGGGCCCCGGCCGGGGCTCCGTCTCCTGCCCCCACCCCCAGGCAGCCCTCGGGGCTGTGTCCACAACCTGGGGCTCCACAGAGCCCAGATCAGAAACCTGGCAGCCAGCCCCAGCCATTTAGTCTGAAAGTGGGAAACTGAGGCCAGGAGGGGTGGGTCAGTGGTGGAGCTGGGAGTGGGCCTGGGCTCCTGAGCCCCGTTCTCAGAGCCCAGAGTCCAGGCATTCTGCATCGCTTCCTGGGGAGCCAAGTGTGTGCAGGCTGCCCCGGAGGAGCTGGGAGGTTGAGGGGTCTCAAAGCAGGGGGACGTGTTACTCCTCGGAGTTCCTGGGCCTCAGTGTTGTCACGTGTCACAGGGTGCGTTGCGGGAGATGCAGCCTGGTCCTGGACAGTGCTGTCCCCCGTGGGGCTGGGCTGGTCCTCCATGGTGGGAGTGACCTGGGGATGTGGCTCCAGCTGGGGACTGGCACCTGGCAGCCAGGCTGGGGTGCTGGGGCGGGAGGGGCTGGCTGCTGGGCCCTCGTGCACCAGGCAGGCTGCCTCACCTCGGCCCGCCTGCTCACACACCTGCACCCACAGGACAGCAAGACAGAGTTGCTCCAGAACGCCCACAGCATGTCCCTGCCACGGCTGGAGCCCTCCACCAAGTACCAGGCGAGAGTGAGGGTCAAGCCCGCCCCCGGGGGCTACAACGGGGTCTGGAGCGAGTGGAGTGAGGAGCGCTCCTGGGGCACTGAGTGGGGTAGGTCTCCCCGGCCACCTCTCCCCCCGACCCCTGGTGCAGCCCAGCTGGGCAGAGGACAGGAGTGATACAGACACAGAGATGTGACCCAACCCCACCCAAGCATCCTTCCCTACCACCTGTCACTAGTCATTGGAAAGGGACGCCTGGTGAGCAACACAGGCTTCAGGTGAGGTCCTGAGAGGCAGAGAAGAGCAGGTTTCCCCATCACTCCTCCCTCAGACCAGACCTTAGCCCTCTAATAATATGGCCCACAGTTTCATTCGCTGTTATGGCAGCCACTGACCCAGTGACCTCTCAGCCTGAGTTCCTGTTGCCATGGCAGCAAACAGCAGGAGCCGCAGACTGAGGCCTGGGACCAGAGGTTCCGGTCTGATTTCTTCATCTTCCCCACTTCCCTGCTCTGGCTGCTTTTGTTTCTCCCTCACATTTCCCCACAGGGGCCACCCGGAGACAAGGCAGGACTAGGTCCCCGAGGTGGCTGAGGAGAGGATGGAGGAGGTGGGGAGCAGGCACCCCAGTCCCAGGCAGCCCGAACATGGGAGGAGCCCCAGGGAGAGGGCCACAGTCAAGAGGAAAGGAGGGCTGGACATCGGGCCCCGGGGAAGGAGAGCTAGGGAGTCCTGGAGGGCCCAGCCTGTGAGTAGCTCCAGGCTGCCCGGCAGGAAGTGTGGGGGCTCCTGATGGGCCTCTGCACCTGCTGGTTCCTCCACCGGCACGGCTTTCCCCGTCTATACCTCTCCAATCCTCCCGTTCCTCGAGGCCCAGTTTATATGCTGCCTCCTTTAGGAAGCCCACTGGGATTGCCATGGGCTGTGGTCACAGTCCCACTGAAGTAGCACCTCCGGCTACAGAAAGGCTCACCCCACGGTGCCCTCCTCAGCACTTGAACGTTGCATGGGGTGCAAACCAAGGCCCTCTTCTTCTTGTTTGTGTCTGGTATCTCTCCCTTTTGCACCACCCTGATGCCCTGAGCTTTGGGACCCCTGAGCTGGCACCGACCACGGTAGGGCCCTGAGCATCCACCTCCTGAGCCTCCAGCCTCTCCCTCCCGAGATGCTAACGCTCCTTTTCCCCCCTTCCTGCCCGGAAGAACTGCCCATGTGGGTCCTGGCGCTCATCCTGGTCTTCGCCACCCTCGTCTTGCTCCCAGCCCTGCGCTTCTGCGGCGTCTATGGCTACAGGTAAGGGGACTCCATGATGGGGGTGCAGTCCCCAGGTCCCCAGGGGCTGCCAGGCACCCACAGCCGGCTCCCTCCTGTCCCTGCCCTGCCATCCACTCCCTGAGGGCCATGGACAAATCCCAGCCTCTCCCTGAGCCTCAGTTTCCCCTCTGAGCTTGGGGAGTGTGGGCATGGCGCAGTGACCCGCAGGCCTCTGGCGGCTGTCACCTCCCCACTGTCTTTCCAGACTGAACCGGAAGTGGGAGGAGAAAATCCCCAACCCCAGCAAGAGCCACCTGTTCCAGGTAGGAGCTGCCTGGGAGGGTGGCTGGGTGGGCGGGGCTCCTCTGCACCCAGCCCCTGCCCCAGGCCAGGTCCTCCTCCCCTGCCTGTGGGCTTGAGGGCTGGGGCCTGGGCAGCCAGGGAAGGGGCGGGGAAGCTGCAAGAGCCGGGCCCGCACCTGCCGGTTCATCCCTGCCGTCCCGGGCCCTGCAGATGCCCAAGGGCCCTGCCCCCGGGGCTCCCAAGGACCAGGGGAGAGCTGAGTACATGGGGACAACAGGAGTGCAGGGTGGGCTCAGGGAGCAGCTAGTTCTACTGGGGATGGGCGGGGTCATGGAGACACGTGGCTTCCTGGAGGACAGGATGTCAGAGCTGAGCTCTGAGGGTCCGGGGTGGTGCCAGGTGGGAAAGGCCGCTGCAGGCAGAAGGTATGTGAGGCTGGAGACAGGAGCCCTGCAGGAAGGGCAGTGGGCTGGGCAGTGAGGCTGGGGCCACCACGGGAGGCTGCGATGACCTCGGGGTGGGCGCCCACACGATGGTGAAATGGCCCTCCGGTCAGGAAGGCGTGGCCGGCTCTGCCCCTGGAGGGGCCCTGGCCAGTGTGGGTGACAAGGGGTGAGGGTGGAGGCAGCATCACCCAGATCAGCAGACTCGAGGGAACTGGGGCCCCCGCCTCGGATGCAGAGGACCCAGGGAAGTCCCAGTCTTCTCTGGCCTCCCCTTCCTGGTGTCACAGGCCCAGGCTGGGCCTGACCAGGCTGAGATTCCTCCCATGTCTGGGGGCTCACTGAGGCCTCTGTCACCCCCTGGCCCTCCCCCCACCGTTGGTTTCTCAAAGGCCCCCACAGCCACAGACACCAATGTCCTTTCTCTTCCCAGAACGGGAGTGCCAGGCTGCGTCTCCCAGACAGCACGTGGACCCTCAGCAGCAGGAGCTCCCCACCCCAGGGGCCGTGGGGCGGCCGCTTCCCTGAGCTGGAGAGGTGAGTGTCTGGGCGTGGGATCCCTGGAGGGGAAGGGGGACACCATCGTGCACATCGAGGGCTCAGAGGAGGCAGCCTCGCGCCTGTGGCCCCTGAGGAGAGATCCTTGGAGGCTGGTGTGCACGACAGCAAGAGGCGCCCCAGCTGGACAGCGGGAAGAACCTCCTGATTCCTGGGTCAGGGAGGGACCTCAGACTTGACCCGAGGCGGGAGACTGGAGCAGATGGCTTCTCCCTGCTCTGCTGCCCAGGGTGACCCCACAGTGCCTTGACCTCTGGGGGTGGCTGAAGGACTGCTGACCCTCATGGCATCAGCATGCTGCCCCCAGCTCACCACTGACCCTCAGGAGAGGTGACTACATGCCAGGGAAGCAGGAAGGAGGGAATGACCGAGCAAACACAGGCTCGCAGTGCCCGGGGCCCTGACGCTGGGGCTGTCAAGGAGCAGAGGGTGCGAGGGTCACCCTGGCAGAGGACACCCTGAGCAGGAGCACGGGGGCTGGTGGGCGAGGTCCACGGGGACACTGAAGGGATGTCCAGCGTCCCCTCTGGGCCTGCCCCTGTCCTCGCCCTGCTCTGTGCTCCCTGTGAGCCAGGGTGTCTGCCCCCACCCCAAGCCTGTGTTGGGCCTGAGGCTTCTGCCCAGGGTGGTCTCCACATCTCTTCACCTGTTCTCCCCACAGGGTGTCCCTCATAGACTGCGGGCACAGCGAAGTGTCACCTCTCACCACAAAGGACCCTAAAGATGCCCAGGACTCACCATCTGAGCCTGACACGACTCTGACCCCCTCAGACCTGCCCGCCGAGCGGCCCCACAGCCCCCAGCCAGGCCTGGCCACCCCCTCGGGCAGGCCTGAGAGCCGGGTTTCTGGCTTCGACTTCAATGGTCCCTACCTGGGGCCACCCCACAGCCGCTCCCTGCCTGACATGGTGGGCCCACTGGTGGCCCCACAGATGGACATGGGCCAGAAGCCGCTGCCTTCAGGGTCCCTGGAGTACCTGTGTCTGCCTGCAGGCGGGCAGGTGCAGCTGGTCCCGCTGTCCCAGGCGATGGGACAGGGCCGGGCCCAGGATTTGGAGAAGAAGCCCAGCCCTGGGGCTGAGGGGAGCCCCTCCCTGGAGTCCGGGCCAGACCCCGTCCCTCCCGCACCTGGGCTGATGGTGGACGGTCAGGGTCCAAAGGACAGCCCCGCAGCTCTGCCCACTGCCTCTGGGGGCCCTGCGGACAGCGGCGTGGCCTCTGGTTATGTCACCACGGCCGACCTGACCTTCACCCCACCCACAGGGGCCCCGTCTGTCTCCCAGGCTCCCCGTCTGGGGCTCCCCTCAGACCAGAACGACAGCGTCTGTCCTGGACTAGCCGGTGGGCCCCCTGGAGCCCCGGCCCCCATGAAGCCAGAGTTTGAGGGCTATGTGGAGCTCCCTCCGACCACAGGCCAGACCCCCAAATCCCCTCTGGTCAGTCCTGCTCCTCCTGCCACCAGCAGCCCCGTCCTGAGCCTGGGGGAGGCCCGGGCAGATGCCGCCCCCGCCTCCCCACATCCCGAGGGCCTCCTGGTCCTGCAGCAGGTCGGCGACTACTGCTTTCTCCCTGGGGTCGGGTCCAGCCCTCTCTCACCCCAGATTAAGCCCTCTTCCCCGGGTCCCTGTCCTGAGACTGGGGACCTGGAACAAGTGCTCCAGGCCAAGAAGCCCTCGGGCCAGGCCGTTCCCCAGGTCCCCGCCATCCAGCTCTTCAAAGCCCTGAAGCAGCAGGACTACCTGGCTCTGCCCCCGTGGGATGTCGCCAGGCCTGGGGAGGTGTGCTGAGCCCCTCCAGACCCCGGGGAGGCGAGCGCAAGGAGGGGCGGCCTTCTCTCCACTTTGCTTTTCTCTCCCCCCAGCCCTCGTCCCTTCCACAGTCATTTCTGCAGAGCCAAGGGACGGCTTCCACATCGGGGCAGACAGAGCCTGGGAGAAGGGTCCACCACTCGCCTTCTCCCTTGACCTTCAGCCAGTCGCTTCTCTCCTCTCTCTGTCCGTGCGTCCCTCCACACATGGGCACACATACACACACACACACATTTTTCTTTCAAGTTACGTTGATTTTAGGTTCTGAATTATTAGAGCGTTCCATCCATCCTCATTCCATTTGCCCTCATTTTCTTTTTTACCAGGTTTTCTTACTTTTGCCATTTTCCTCTTTCTCTCTTCACTGATTTATTATGAGAGTCAGTTTGAGGTCCGAGCTAAGCGTGTTCTGAGCTGTTGTGGCACCGTCAGAGCCCACACGGATGCCGCCAGGGCTGGCCACGTTGGAGGACCTGTGTCTGCGGCCTGTCCCCAGCAGCGCGAAGGCACGGGACAAGAGTCCAGCCCAGGAACAGGAGGCAGGAGGCACAGGGAGGGGCCGTGGGGGGGGTCACGGCTGGGAAGAGCAGCCCAGAACTAGGCACGCTCACAGCTGTGCAGCCGCAGGCCTGGTGGCACAGCACCTGTGTGGATTGTCACTCCAAGGAATGGGCGTGGTAAGGGAAGAAGTGTTCTGAGGTCACGGGGAGCCCTGCTGGTCTGGAGGGGACTGGGGAGCAGTGCATAGAGGCCATGGAGCTGAGCATGCTCCGTGCTGCCTCCGGACTGAGAAGCTCTTTCCACACCAGGCTGGTGGGCCCGGGGAAGTTCGGGAGGGGAGGGGAGTCGGGGACCCAGGACTATTATAGAAAACCCGGCAAAAACTGCTCAGCAAAGAAAAGTGATCCAAGGGCATGTACGCTTTCAGGCTTACAGTCCGAATTGTCTGGCTGCCCTCTCTCCAGAAAGACCTCACAACTCTCACTCCCACCAGCCATGGACAGGGGGCTTCTGGTCTACCGTCCAGACCCATACGGGGGATTATGGTCCTCTGAAATCTGCCTTTCTGATATGCAAACAAATGGCATTATATTGTTGAAATTTGCATTATTTGATAATTATCAAGTTTGCACGTATTTTCATATGTTTCTTGGGCATTGGCATTTTTTTACTGGGCTAAGCTCATTACAGTCTTTGTTCTGCTGGGTGTTCATCTTTTTCTGATTGAATTTTTAAAACTATTTACGCATGGCCTTTCATGGATGGTGCAAACCTTTCCCCCAGTTTGCGGTTTGTCTTTTAATTTTGTATATGAAGCTTTCAGTGTCCACAACGTCAGCTTTTCCGTATCGTCGAATAGATGTACCGAGGATCTCCTTCCGGGCTCCACTTTTGGTGTCAAGATTGCAAGGCCTTCGGACCTGCTTCAAAACTGCATTTGTCTTAATTTATAGTTTTTCTAGTTCTTTTTGTGTTCCGACCTTTTCATGTGAAATTGTAATGATTTTGGAATGTAAGCCTGTGCGATGAAGAGCTAGCTTTTTGTTTTCCTCCAACAAGTCGCCAAGTGTCCTCGTGACATCTGTGGAATTGCTCACGTTTGGTCCGTGTGTCTGAAAAGCCACTTTCATGATATAAAGTCCCCGTATGTACTCAGTCGAATTCTAGGCTTTCAATTTTCTTACGTTGTTCTCTAGATGACACCCCACAGCTCTGACATTCTAGTTTTACGTTTTAATAAGTGGCAGAGCAAACGTTCCTGTCACTTTTGTTCCTGCATCCCCGTGCATTACAGCAATGTTTGTGGTCAAAGAAAATTACAAGCAACTTAAATATCCACCAATCGTGACGTTGATAACAACATTTTAGTACATTCTAAAGTAGAATCCTGTGTTAAAAATGAATGAGGTGGACCCACGTCTTAGAAAGGAGTCCAAGATATTAATCCCCAAGTATCCAGACATTGGTAACTGAAAAAAATTGCAATAAAATATTTTTACTAGAAAACAACACCCACCCCTAAACTTGTGTGTGTGTGTTGGTGAAGATGGGGAGGGGGGCTATCGGAAACCACAGCTGCCTCGAGGAGGATGAATTCTTTTAAGCAAAAGGGCCTTTGGTCTTTGAGGCACACAGCGAGTTTGGGGACAGTCGAGACGAGAAGAGGAAAACTGTGCCTCACAGAGCGAGAAGCGGGTGGGCTCCTAGGACAAGCCAGGAGGGAGGGAGGGGAGGAGAAAGACAGCGCCAGGGCGAGTATAAGGGGCCCACCCACTCTAAAAAAATCATTCACTGTTATTGGAAATTCAAATTTCATTGGGCGTCCTGTGTTTGATCTCTAATGAGACTGGAGAACCACGTGAGAAACTGAGGTCCCCATAAAAATAGCTGCGGTTTGTCGAGAGCTTATTCCTGGCAGGCCCTGCTCAACTGATTTAGTGGGATCAACTCATTTAATCTGCACAACTCTCTGAGGCAGGTACTATCTTTATCTCCTTTTTTGTAAGTGAGGAAACTAAGGCACAGAGAGGTTACGTAGCTTACCCCGGGTCAACCAGCGGGTGTGTGGCAGAGTCAGGATTCGAGCCCTGGCCCTGTGTTCAGAGCCTGCCCTCGAAAGCAAAGGCTTTCCCCTGAAGATCCACACATGGACACGAGATGATCCACGTTGCTTGGAAAGACAGAAAAATCCATAAACGGAACTGCTTCTGTGGTGGGGGGAGGTTGAGCCAGAGCTGCCCATGAAAAATATTTGTATTTCTCTGGGAGCTAAATAATAAGGATGAACGTTCTCATTCATTGAAGTCCCGAGAGACCTTGTATTTAGAACGATGTCTCCCTCACCTGTATGCCCCTGAGAACCCAGCCCAGAGCCATGCACGTAGCGGGTGATGATAAGGAAGTGTCACAGTGTGAGGCCTCCAGGAAGCCGTCCCTGAGATGGAGGGACATGCAGAGGACTTACAGGGGATGAAAGGAAAGAGGAGAAAGCAAAGCTGGTCAGGAGGAACCGTCAGACCTTCCAGACCTGGCGAAACACCTGCCAGCCCATGGGAAGCTCGAAGCAAAAATTGCCTGTTAGGAAGATCCCACGGTGGGCAGAAATGGCCAGGCCCCGGGGCCCTTGTGGGCTCGGCCATTGGCTGGGGGCGCCCTGAGAAGAAGGAAGGAGGCAAAGTTGGAGGCTACCAGCAGCTGGGTGGCTGGTCCTTTCCTGAGGGGGGAGCTGAGGCGTGTCTGAGTCTTTCACATCCGTTCATCTACTAAAGGATGTCTTGGTGGCTTCCAATTTGGGTGATTAAGAATAAAGTGGCTATAAACATCTGTGTGCAGGTTTTTGTGTGGACATCAGTTTTCAACTCCTTTGGGCAAACACCAAGAAGTGAGGTTGCTGGATCATATGGTAGGAGTATGTTTAGTTTGTGAGAAACTGCCAAACCGTCTTCCAAAGTGGCTGCACCATTTTGCGTTCCTGCCCGCCGTGAGTGAGCATTCCTGCTGCTCCACGTCCTCGCCAGCACTTGGTGTTGTCGGTGTTCTGGATTTGGGCCATCCTGATAGGTGTGTAGCGGGGTCTCACTGCTGTTTTAGCTTGTCATTCCCTAATGACAGATGACGTGGGGCATCCTTTCGTGTGGCCGTTTACCATCTGCACAACTTCTTCTGTGAGGTGTCCCTTCAGCTCTTTTGTCCGTCTTTCAATTGGGTTGTCCGTTTTCTTGTTGTTGAATTATAACAGTTCTTTGAATATTTTGGATAATAGCCCTTTATCAGATGGGTCTTTTTCAAAGGTTTTCTCCCAGTCTGTGGCTCGTCTTCTCGTACTCTTGACCACGTAAAGATCAAAATGGCGAGACACCATTTTGGTGGGAAATCGTTTTTCAGACAATATGAAGCAAAGCGAAAAATGCACACCTTTTGACCTCGTGATTTTGTGTCTAACATTATTTGGGAAATATGCCCTAAAATATAGGTACATGGATGTTTATTGCCATGTTGTTTGCCTTCCAGAAAAAGAAACCATGCGAAGGGCAACAATACGCTCCCTTCGTTACTGCCTGGGATGGAAGAGCCACGGCACGCCCATCTGGTGGGAGACTGTGTAGTCATTGAAAAGACTGACTATTGTGGAAAGATCTCCAAGATACAGTAACTGAAAAAACCAAGGCCCAGAACAATCCGCTGAGTAGGACCACATTTTGTAGAGGGGAGAGGGAAGTAGTCAATCTAAGCTCCCGTTTATAAATGCAACAGGAACACTTTTCGAGAACACACAGCAACCCACGAGAGGGCTTCCTCTGGGGAGGGGATGGAATTGAGACATCTTTATTCTACAAACTTTCAAATTGAATTTTTTATGTTTATGTGTTACCTGTGTAAATAAACCCAATATTTTTTAAAGTGTATTAATGTATCAAAAGCAAGGAAAGTGAAAAAGAAGAAATAAAACAAAAAAGCAAATATCTATTTGCTATCACAAGAAAAGCAAGCAGCCATGAAGACAAGGATCCTCAGACCGGAGTGGATGTTTTTGAACACAGCTCTCGCCTGTTTTCAAGACACACCCCCTCAAAGACAGGACTCGAAAGTTGAAAATACTGGGATGGAAAAGATATACTTAGACAAATGCTAATGACAATAACAACAATAAAATGCAGGTGGTAGTGTTAATATCAGATTAAACAAAATTTAGGGCCGAGAGTATTAAATAGGAGAAAGAAGGATATTTACAACAGCAAAAAATAGCAATCCTTGACGATATAATGATCACAAACCTTTTTAAACTGAACAGCACAGGGCAATCCGTAAGGCAAATCCTTATACATATAAGAGAATTTGATAAAACCGAAATCCCAGTTGGCAAATTCAACACACTTGTCTCCTATTTGGCAGATCACTTAATAAAATAAATATTTGCAAGGAGTCATGGAGCTGGCCCGGTACAAGGCACACAGCAGACATTCGATAAATATTTGTGAATGAATGAGAGAAATTATGTAAGAGCTGACGGTTATCACTCCATTTTACAGATGAGAAAGCAGAGGCATGGAGAAGGTTGAGAATTCATGTAAAGGTAGTAAGTAGCTGAGCTGGGGTTTGAACTCAGACTGTCTCACTGTAGAATCAGGCCTGCTGTCCTCTTCTGTCTGCTGCCTCTGGAAACAACTTACATAAAACAATAATTAACAAGTGAGACTATACAGGTGACTATGTATATTTGTAAGTGTATAACATATAATATAACATAACATGTATGTAATACATAAAGAGAGATGATCCTTTCTTGCTTTCTTCTCTTATTCCTAGGGAATTTATATATAAAAGTGGATCTACTTAGCTACAGGGAAAACTTCAAAGAAATTCCAGAGTAGGAATTTACATTTCCTGCCGCAATACAATAAAATTAAAAGTCAGCTATAAAAAGGTAACAAAGAATCAAAACTCTTGATTACGAGCAATCCCTGCCCACTACACAATAATTAGACAATGCAGATGTGGGCGATGAATGACAATCGCACCTGCATCATTCAAGAGATGCTCGAGGGTCCAGCGTGAGTGGTGGGCAGAGGGAAATTGCTGTGTTAGCGCTTTCTGCTACACAAGGGGGTCCTCAGGGTGCGGTCCCCGGATCACCACCATCGGCATCACCTGGGATGGCAGGAAGACAAACTCACAGATCTCTCCCAGGACCTACTGAATCAAAACCTTTGGGTTTCACAAGCTCTGCAGTGATGCTGGGGCGCGAGAAAGTTTGAGAACCGCTGCTCTCACCACTGTGGGCTCCTCTGGATACACAGAAAATTCAGGGGAAGGAGCCAAGGGGTGGAACAAGGAGAAAGGCAGGACCCAGAGGCTCAGCTGAGGCAGGGTACGGCCGCACCTCTCCAGGCCTGTTGTCACCCCCGGGTGATGGTGGGTCCGGCAGTGGCTTGATGCCTTTCCAGCAGTGACACCGGGTCCTTCACACTTGGCCGGGCCAGGGCATTGGGCCAGGGGATCTTAGTCGGAGGTCCCTCTTCCACGAGTGGAGGGCTTGCCTGGAGGGGGAGTGGGCAGGCACCAAAGCTGAAGGGGAGGCAGTAGTCGCCCACCTGCTGCAGGACCAGGAGGCCCTTGGGATGTGGGGAGACTGGGGCAGCATCTGCCCGGGGCTCCCCCAGGCTCAGGACAGGGCTGCTGGTGGCAGGAGGAGCAGGACTGAACAGAGGGGACTTGGGGATCTGGCCTATGGTCGGGGGGAGCTCCACATAGCCCTCAAACTCTGGCTTCATGGGGGCCGGGGCTCCAGGGGGCCCACCAGCCAGTCCAGGACAGACGCTGTGGTTCTGGTCTGAGGGGAGCCCCAGACGGGGAGCCTGGGAGACAGATGGGGCCCTTGCGGGTGGGGTGAAGGTCAGGTTGGCCGTGGTGACATAACCAGAGGCCACGCTGCTGTCTGCAGGACCCCCAGAGGCAGTGGGCAGAGCTGCGGGGCTGTCCTTTGGACCCTGACCGCCCACCATCAGCCCAGGTGCGGGAGGGACGGGGTCTGCCCGGGACTCCAGGGAGGGGCTCCCCTCAGCCCTAGGGCTGGGCTTCTTCTCCAAATCCTGGGCCCGGCCCTGTCCCATCGCCTGGGACAGCGGGACCAGCTGCACCTGCCCGCCTGCAGGCAGACACAGGTACTCCAGGGATCCTGAAGGCAGCGGCCTCTGCTTCATGTCCATCTGTGGGGCCACCAGCAGGCCCATCATGTCAGGCAGGGAGCGGCTGTGGGGTGGCCCCAGGTAGGGAACACTGAAGTCGAAGCCAGAAACCCGGCTCTCAGGCCTGCCCGAGGGGGCAGCCAGGCCCAGCTGGGGGCTGCAGGGCCGCTCGGCTGGCAGGTCTGAGGGGGCCAGAGTCGTGTCAGGCTCAGATGGTGAGTCCTGGGCATCTTTAGGGTCCTTTGTGGTGACAGGTGACACCTCGCTGTGCCCACAGTCTATGGGGGACACCCTGTGGGGAGAACAGGTGAAGAGATGTGGGGACCACCCTGAGCAGATACCTCAGGCCCAGTACAGGCTCGGGGTGGGGGCAGACACCCTGGCTCACAGGGAGCACAGGGCAGGGCGAGGACAGGGGCAGGCCCAGAGGGGATGCTGGACATCCCTTCAGTGTCCCCGTCGACCCCGCCTGCCAGCTCCTGTGCTCCTGCTCAGGGTGTCCTCTGCCATGGTGACCCTCACACCCTCTGCTCCTTGACAGCCCCAGCGTCAGGGCCCCGGGCACTGCGAGCCTGTGTTTGCTCGGTCATTCCCTCCTTCCTGCTTCCCTGGCATGTAGTCACCTCTCCTGAGGGTCAGTGGTGAGCTGGGGGCAGCATGCTGATGCCATGAGGGTCGGCATCCCCTCGGCCACCCCCAGAGGTCAAGGCAGGAGGGCAGGGAGAAGCCATCTGCTCCAGTCTCCCGCCCCGGGTCAAGTCTGAGGTCCCTCCCTGACCCGGGAATCAGGAGGTTCTTCCCGCTGTCCAGCTGGGGCGCCTCTTGCTGTCGTGCACACCAGCCTCCAAGGATCTCTCCTCAGGGGCCACAGGCGCGAGGCTGCCTCCTCTGAGCCCTCGATGTGCATGATGGTGTCCCCCTTCCCCTCCAGGGATCCCACGCCCAGACACTCACCTCTCCAGCTCAGGGAAGCGGCCGCCCCACGGCCCCTGGGGTGGGGAGCTCCTGCTGCTGAGGGTCCACGTGCTGTCTGGGAGACGCAGCCCGGCACTCCCGTTCTGGGAAGAGAAAGGACATTGGTGTCTGTGGCTGTGGGGGCCTTTGAGAAACCAACGGTGGGGGGAGGGCCAGGGGGTGACAGAGGCCTCAGTGAGCCCCCAGGCATGGGAGGAATCTCAGCCTGGTCAGGCCCAGCCTGGGCCTGTGACACCAGGAAGGGGAGGCCAGAGAGGACTGGGACTTCCCTGGGTCCTCTGCATCCAAGGCGGGGGCCCCAGTTCCCTCGAGTCTGCTGATCTGGGTGATGCTGCCTCCACGCTCACCCTTCATTTCCCCACACTGGCCAGGGCCCCTCCAGGGGCAGAGCCGGCCACGCCTTCCTGACCGGAGGGCCACTTCACCCTCGCGTGGATGCCCACCCCGAGGTCATCGCAGCCACATATGGTGGCCCCAGCCTCACTGCCCAGCCCACTGCCCTTCCTGCAGGGCTCCTGTCTCCAGCCTCACATACCTTCTGCCTGCAGCGGCCTTTCCCACCTGGCACCACCCCGGACCCTCAGAGCTCAGCCCTGACATCCTGTCCTCCAGGAAGCCACGTGCCTCCACGACCCCGCCCATCCCCAGTAGAACTAGCTGCTCCCTGAGCCCACCCTGCACTCCTGTTGTCCCCGTGTACTCAGCTCTCCCCTGGTCCTTGGGAGCCCCGGGGGCAGGGCCCTTGGGCATCTGCAGGGCCCAGGACGGCAGGGATGAACCGGCAGGTGCTTGCCCGGCTCTTGCAGCTTCCCCGCCCCTTCCCTGGCTGCCCAGGCCCCAGCCCTCAAGCCCACAGGCAGGGGAGGAGGACCTGGCCTGGGGCAGGGGCCAGGTGCAGAGGAGCCCCGCCCACCCAGCCACCCTCCCAGGCAGCTCCTACCTGGAACAGGTGGCTCTTGCTGGGGTTGGGGATTTTCTCCTCCCACTTCTGGTTCAGCCTGGAAAGACAGTGGGGAGGTCACAGCTGCCAGAGGCCTGTGGAGCGCTGGGCCATGCTCATGCTCCCCAAGCTCAGAGGGGAAACTGAGGCTCAGGGAGAGGCTGGGATTTGTCCATGGCCCTCAGGGAGTGGATGGCAGGGCAGGGACAGGAGGGAGCCGGCTGTGGGTGCCTGGCAGCCCCTGGGGACCTGGGGACTGCACCCCCATCATGGAGTCCCCTTACCTGTAGCCATAGACACCGCAGAAGCGCAGGGCTGGGAGCAAGACGAGGGTGGCGAAGACCATGATGAGTGCCAGGACCCACACGGACAGCTCTTCCGGGCGGGAAGTGGGGAAAAGGAGCGTTAGCATCTCGGGAGGGAGAGGCTGGAGGCTCAGGAGGTGGATGCTCAGGGCCCTAACCCGGTCTGTGCAGGCTCAGGGGTCCCAAAGCTCAGGGCTTCAGGGGGGTGCAAAAGGGGCAGGAGGACGGACACAAACAAGAAGAGGGTGTTGGTTTGCACCCCGCGCAACGTTCAAGTGCTGGGGAGGACACCGTGGGGAGAGCCTTTCCAGTAGCAGGATGTGCTGTGGGGAGGACAATAACTGCAGCCTATGACAATCATGGAGGACTTCCCCGGCTCTCCTTCCCCGGGGCCCGATGTCCAGCCCTCCTTTCCTCTTGACTGTGGCCCTCTCCCTGGGGCTCCTCCCATGTTCGGGCTGCCTGGGACTGGGGTGCTTGCTCCCCACCTCCTCCATCCTCTCCTCAGCCACCTCGGGGACCTAGTCCTGCCTTGTCTCCGGGTGGCCCCTGTGGGGAAATGTGAGGGAGAAACAAAAGCAGCCAGAGCAGGGAAGTGGGGAAGATGAAGAAATCAGACCGGAACCTCTGGTCCCAGGCCTCAGTCTGCGGCTCCTGCTGTTTGCTGCCATGGCAACAGGAACTCAGGCTGAGAGGTCACTGGGTCAGTGGCTGCCATAACAGCGAATGAAACTGTGGGCCATATTATTAGAGGGCTAAGGTCTGGTCTGAGGGAGGAGTGATGGGGAAACCTGCTCTTCTCTGCCTCTCAGGACCTCACCTGAAGCCTGTGTTGCTCACCAGGCGTCCCTTTCCAATGACTAGTGACAGGTGGTAGGGAAGGATGCTTGGGTGGGGCCGGGTCACATCTCTGTGTCCGTATCACTCCTGTCCTCTGCCCAGCTGGGCTGCACCAGGGGTGGGGGGGAGAGGTGGCCGGGGAGACCTACCCCACTCAGTGCCCCAGGAGCGCTCCTCACTCCACTCGCTCCAGATCCCATTGTAGCTCCCGGGGGTGGGCTTGACCCTCACTCTCGCCTGGTACTTGGTGGAGGGCTCCAGCCATGGCAGGGACATGCTGTGGGCGTTCTGGAGCGACGCTGTCTTGCTGTCCTGTGGGTGCAGGTGTGTGAGCAGGCAGGCCGAGGTGAGGCAGGTGCCCAGCAGCCCGCCCCTCCTGTCCCAGCACCCCAGCCTGCCTGCCAGGTGCCAGTCCCCAGCTGGAGCCACATCCCCAGGTCACTCCCACCGTGGAGGACCAGCCCAGCCCCACGGGGGACAGCACTGTCCAGGACCGGGCTGCATCTCCCGCAACGCACCCTGTGACACGTGACAACACTGAGGCCCAGAAACCCCGAGGAGTCACACGTCCACCCACCTGGAGACCCCTCAACCTCCCAGCTCCTCCGGGGCAGCCTGCACCCACTTGGCCTCCCCAGGAAGCGATGCAGGATGCCTGGACTCTGGGCTCTGAGAACGGGGCTCAGGAGCCCAGGCCCACTCCCAGCTCCACCACTGACCCACCCCTCCTGGCCTCAGTTTCCCACTTTCAGACTAAATGGCTGGGGCTGGCTGCCAGGTTTCTGATCTGGGCTCTGTGGAGCCCCAGGTTGTGGACACAGCCCCAAGGGCTGCCTGGGGGTGGGGGCAGGAGACGGAGCCCCGGCCGGGGCCCTGCCTGACTCCACAGAAGCTGCTCTGCTCTACCAGCTGCACGTCTGAGTCCAGGTGAGATTCCTCTGAAGAACTGTCCCCTTTATGACTTTGGCAAACCCTTCATGCAGCTGTCCCTCCGCCCTCCCCACCCTGGCGTCTATGCCCCCTTTGCAATTCTGAGTTGGCTGTGTTAGTTTTGGCCAAGTCACATGACCTCCGGGAGCCTCAGTTCCTTCACCAAGGGATGGGACGGTGACCTGCTGACCACCTGGGGTCATGACACCAAGTCCCAGTGGCTTCCTCTTGCGGGTCACCTGCTGGGAGCCAGGCACCTGGCAGGTGTCGCCCTCCTGTGTGTTGTCTCCCAGCCCCTTCCCCACACCAGCCCCTCCCGGGGCCCAGGCCCTCACCTCCCATGAGGCTGTGTCTTTCTTGTACTGGACCTGGAAGGTGTGGCCTATGTGTTTGTACATCATTTCCTCCGCTTTCCAGAGCAGGACATAGCCGTCTTTGCTCCTGGTCACGTTGAGTGTCGGGGGCGCCATCTGGACTGGAGGGAGGGACACTTTTAGGGAAGATTATTCCTAATATCCCTCCGATCGAACATTCCTTGTCTTCCATGCTGGTCACTGGTGACTCCTCCACTGGCCCAGGACCCTGGTCCCACCTGTCTCGGGGTCTCTGTGCCCCGAGTGGGGCATCAGCATCTTTCCTCGGCTGGGCAGCCCTACCCCGGGAGGTGCTGAGGTAAACTACTGTCTGTTGGGCAGTGGCGCCGTGGCTGGGTTCCTGGTTACTCGTGCTGGTGGAAGTCCCAAGTTTGGCCCTCTTGGGCCTTTTACTCTGAATTAACCTGGCGGATTTGGAGTCATCGCTCTGAGAGCGTCTCTCCCAGACACTTGCCTTTACGCCACCTTCAAAAGGAGAGAAGGCCGAGCGCCTGGCCCCGGAAAGGACCTCTCTCCCCCATGACTCCAGCCTGTCCTTGCTGCTGCCCACGTGGGTTTGCTGGGCACAGAACGGGCGCCTGTCCTCCTGAGATGGGATGCAGTGCAGACTCTCAGGAGGGAACTCAGAGGCACTCACTGAGGACACGTGTCCCCTCATTAGTCCTGGACACAGGTCAGGCTTTTCGGGTGGCCCTGTGTCCACTCCCCCTCAGGGTGCCCCTCAGGACGTGCCATGATGAGAGGTTGTGGAAGCTGAACAGCAGCCCCTACGGAATCCGGGTCCTGCCCCCGGAGCTTGTTACCTTACACAGCAAAATGGACCTTGTGATGGGGACATCATCCTGGATTATCCAGGTGGGCCCTCAACGTAATCACAGGGGTTCTGATCAGAGGAACGCAGGAGGGAGGTCTGACTACAAAGAGAAGGCAGAGAGGCAGAAGCAGGAAGAGATTTGAAGATGCCACCGTGTCATCAGTGCTGTCGAGTCCATTCCGCTCCCACTGACCCTGTGGACAGCAGAGCAGAACCCTGCCCGGTCTTTCTGCGCCATCCTCTCAGCCTCCTGCACTGTATCAGATGGTGCTCCGCTGCCACTCACAGGGTTTTCACGGCCAATTTTTTGGAAGTGGGGGCCAGGTCCTTCTTCCTAGTCTGTCTTAGTCTGGAAGCTCTGCTGAAACCTGTCCACCATGGGTGGCCCTGCTGGTATTTGAAATACTGGTGGCATAGCTTTCAGCATCACAGCAACACACAGCCGCCACAGTATGACCACCGACAGACGGGTGGTGTGGTCCCGACCGGAAATGAACCCGGGCCGTGGTGGTGAGCGCTGAATTCTAACCACTCGACACCAGGGCCAGCTAGTGCAGCTCTAGAAGCTGGAAAAGGCCCAGAAATGGATTCTGCCCCAGGGCCCCCGAGGGCGTGCAGGCCTCCAGCACCTTGACTTTAGCCCAGTGAGACCAACTGTCGTCTTCTTGCCTCCAGGACTGTCAGAGAAAGTGTGTGTTGTTTAAGCCACTATGTTTGTGGTCATTTGTTGCAGCAAGAACCGGAAACTAACACAGAAGCGGAAGATTCTAGCCAGGGCTCTGCACTTGCTATGTGACTTCATCCAGTTGCCTCCCATCTCTGAGCCTCAGCTTCCTCCACTGTGAAACAAAGACCACGGTCACCATTGCTCTGCTGCCTCCCCTCAAGTCAGGTGTGAGGGTCACGGGAGAGAAGGGCGAATGTGAGTGGGCTAAGAGTGGGCTTTCTGCCCACTGACCAGCGGGCTGTCACGGGGACTGCTGGGCTCAGAGGGGAAGGAGCTTGTGCACCGGGTCCGACAGGACAGAGCGGCCTTCCTCTGCAGGGCTGGCCTCATTCGTCTCAGGTCGGAGCTCTCTCAGGCTTCAGGCCGTGCAGAAACAGAAAGACTTCCAGTTCTTTGCAGCAGGAAATGCTCCAGGATTTTTCTGGAAGGGTGAGGGGTGGCCAGGCAGGATCTCCGAATGGAGAAGGAGGCAGCCTCCAGAGTCAGACCTGGGCTCCAAGGCTGATCGCCTTCTTTCTTGTGTGACTGGAGCCCCCGTTTACGGGGACAGACACCGGGCATTAGCGAGGCCGCCAATCTAGGGGCGACCCGGAGACTCCAGCCTGGGTCTGTCCGGCAGACCCGCTGCCTGACCCAGTGCCCAGAGGCTCGGCCCTCACAATTAAAAGGACACAGCACGGAACACTCTGTAACATTAAAGTGCGACGCAAGTGTGAGAGCTCTCTTCTCTTTGGGGCCTTCAACGGACGGCAGAGACAATAAGAACGATAATAATAATATCATATTTACCTACATTGTTATTTTTTATCCGCGTTTTCCTTCAAAGGCCTCAAGAAGGAGAAACGCCTTCCTTCCATCCCCCTCGTCCCCACCGCCAGCCTCACCCCTTCCTCCCCACCCCCATCCCAGGAAGACCCACGGCAGGTAGAGGAGCGAGGGAGGACCCTGGAGGAAGAGGGGGACAAAGGACAGAGAGCAGACAGCAGATGGGGGAAGGCCTGTACTTTCTGGAATGTTTGGACATTGGTCAACACACTTTGAGGGCCTGCTGTCTGTCTTGCGCTGCTAACGTGGGCACAGGAAGAAAGCAGTAACCAGAGCAAGCCCCTGCCCTCAGGAAGTGGACACACTGGATAAACGCGTGTTGGGTGGTGGTAAGTCCTGTGGGAAAGGGAAGTGAGACAAGAGGGTGCATCATGATTTCCAGGTGGGAGAGCTGTGTTGAATACGATTTTCCAAGAAGGCTTCACAGAGACTGCGATATTGGACAAAAGCCTGAAGGAGATAAGGAAGGAAGTCCTGATGACCTGAGAGAACAAAGCTTCCCAGCAGAGGAAACAACAGTTGCAAAGGCCCTGAGGCAGGAGGGTGCAAGAGATTGTCACCAACACAGAGGAGGCCCTGGGGCCGGGACAGGGGAGGAGGTCTGTGACAGGGACTTCGGCTGCTGCTCTGTGCAGGATGGAAGGATTTGGAAGTTTTCGGGTAGAGGAGGGGCACAATTTGATAATGTGTTAAGAGAGTCCCACAGGCTGCTGGATTGGGAAGACGCTGAAGGGAAGGCTAGGAGGTAAGAGGGGGGGCTGGGAGGAGCCAGGGGTGAGGATCCGGGATCCAGAGAGATGGTGGCTTGTACCAAGGCGAGGTGGTAAACAGATGGGCCTATTCTAGGTGCATTTCAAAGGTACAGATGGCAGAATTTGCTGGTGGACTGGACGTGGCATTTGAGAGAAAGCTGTGATCCCAAGGTCTCTGGCTTGGACAAGTGAAAAACAGACTCATCATTTAGAGAGATGGTGGGGAAAGCGGAACAGCAGATGGGACGGACAAGGGAGCGTCCACCTTGGAGCATAGGAGGGGTGGAATGACCACAGACATCTGAGGGGTGACGTGCAGAGGGTAATTAGGACCAAGTCGGGGGGCTAAGAGGTCCAGACACTGCAGGCTGAGAAGAGAACACAGAGCAGAAGTAATGGGGGGAGTATTTTCAGAATTGTTCTGGCATGTTATCAACTGCATCACTTACGTATTTTCTGAGAACTTCAAATAACGATTAGAATGACTTCAGTTTGCATTGCTGGACTGCATTGTGTTAAAAGCGACGCACGTGGAGACTGGGCCGTGAGGAGCCCTGAGTTTACTTGGGTTACACAATAAGACAGAGCTGTCCCAAGACCCTCGCACAGAAGGCTGGGGGCAAACTCACTGTTCTCTGAGCTCTTGATAAATTTCTCTTCCTCCTTTGGCCGAACAGAGACGAGGTACTGGCTGTGGGTCCTGGGGTCGGGCACGGGGATCTGGCATCGGTGCAGGATGTAGGGGCTGCCGGGCTGGTCCTGCAGCACTGGGGAGCACTGCTTCTCCCTGAGGACCACAGCAGAGGTGAGGATGGGGGGAGGCGGGGACCACGGGGGAGACGAGACCTCGGGATGAGCTGAGGCTGCTGCTGGGGCCCCTAAACCCAGGAGGAGGCCTGGAGAGGGCACAGCCAGAGGAGGGGAGGGGACGGAGGAGGGGGCACTCACCCCGCATCAGGGCTGGACCTGTAGAAGAGGGCGAAGGAGACCGAGCTGGCCACCTCGGTCCTCACTTCCCAGGAGCAGCTGAGCGCGGCGGCCCCATCGAAGAAGCACTGGAGGTCCCGGGGCTGGGCCTCGTCCCCTGGGAGGGGAGACAGTCCCTCACTCACTCCCTCCTTCGCTCATGCCCGGCTCTCAGCGGCCACCATGAGACTCATCGCAGAGAGACCACGGGCCGTGGGGCCAAAGAGCCCAGGGCTTAAACGTCAGCCTGAACCTGCCGGCCGGGTGAGCACAGATCAGAGAGAATTCCGTGGACCTCCATACGCCTGTGTGAACGGGAGAGCGTCCACGTTCCAGGGTAGGGGTGTCACACAGCAACGCTGGTGTGTCTGCACGCGGTACAGCTCGCAGGACAACAGAGCTGCTCGCAAGGCCACTGTCACTATTATTGGGATTGTTCCCCGTCAGAACGTGTGCGGCACCCTGGGGCCCAGCAGTGAGTAAGCTGCAGCTGCCGCCTCTGCAGGGTCACTGTGCGGATGGGGCCCGAGGAGAGTGACTCTAGACAGGTGGCACAGGAGGTCCGTGGAATCGCACAGTGTGGACCCCCTGACCCCTTCTGTCCGGGAGCTGTAATGAGCCCCTCCCCGCAGAGGGGCATTCACCCCAGCTCGACTCTGTTACCCGGCCAGGAGTCCCAGCAGACTTCCAGGCTCCACTGGCTGATTCACGGTATGTTCCAGAAGGCAATGCTCCCCCCTTCCTAAATTGTGCAGGTCTCCTCCACCATGAAGCCTTCCTTGGTTTCCAGACTGTAAGCTCCATGGGGACAAGGATGCTGCCCTGCTGCTCGGTGCTCTCTTGGCAAATGTAGATGCCCAGTGGTGGGACATCAGTGAATGAATGGATTCTCTTCCCTAACTATGCTTTGCTCCTCCAACTTCCCTTCATCCGGGCTGTACCTCATCCTTTCCCTCCAGGGTGAATCTTCACACTGCTTCATGGGCTCACTCATCCAGCCTGGCTCTCACTTCCCACCCTGGACCCATACCCTCGTAGCCCTCGCCTCTCCGGGCTTCCTCACTCATCGGACCATGGGACGCTCCCTCACTGGCTCCCACACTACCCTCTGGAGCAGGGTTGGGTAAATCACGGCCGAGGGACAAATCTGGCCCACAGCTTGTTGTGTGGCCTGAAGCTGAGGATGGATTTTTACATTTTGTCACAATTCTTTTTATCAGAAAAATATCTTGCCACGCGTCAAAACTAAATGAAATTCAAAATTGTGTGCAAACTAAAGTTTTATCAGAACACAGCTGACACGTTTACGTGTTTTCTACAGCTGCTCTCACGTTACAACGGCAGAGTTGAGGATTTGCAGCTGAGACCATCTGGCTGCAAAGCCTAAATTTCTTCCGATCCAGCACCATGCAGAAGTTAGCTGATCTCTGGAGAGAGGGTGACCTCTAACCTCTTTGCAGGGCACAGAAGCATCTCCCCTCTCCTTCCTCCCGCTGTCCAGACTTCTTGACCCTGATGCTCCCGGGACACAGTTATTACCGCTTTTCCAACCTGCCTTACCCTCCAGGCTCTCCCAGCCTTCGCACCCTCCGTTTCCTCTGCCGGGAGCGCTCTTCCTGCTCTCTCCTCCCCCCACCCTTCAGATCTCCCTGGGAAGCTCTTCATCTGCAAAGCCCGTCCTGAGCCCCCAAGGGCTCCTTGCCCCCCGCCCTTCAGCACGCGGCACACACCCGCCTTCAGTGAGCCATCACTCAAGAGGACACCTGGTGCTTCTGGCCTCTCCAGCCTGTACCTGAGCTCCAGCTGGAGCGTCCTCTTTCTCACCATCCAACACACATTTTGAGACATTGTTTGAAATGAACGCACCACGGCCTCGCCCGTCCCCTCTTCTAGGGAACAGCTTCGTGCTGCCGGGATGAAGAAAGGCCGGAAACAGCGGCCGAGCCCCCTCCCCTCTGACACCTGCAAGGACAGCAGGGTGGCCCAGGGTTGGTGACCTCGGGCGCTAAATTAAGACCTTCCTGGGTTTGAATCTCAGCTCTGCCACCAGCCGCTGAGAGGCTGTGGGTGTTCACTTCCCTCCCTCCGTCTCATCACCAGTCAAATAGCAACAACAATAGCAACTAATCTGGTATTGTTTTGAGGGTTCCGTGAGAACCAGCAGTGTCTCCTAAAGGCCAGGAACGTATGTGGTTTTGACCGTGTCAACACATGTGGTTTTTGCCGTGTCAACGTAACTTTTATATGACTCGTCTTTTTAATTTAGCCTCATTCTAAGAAATTGTTACCTTGCATGCACCAGTTTGAAGAGTCGGTTATATTTCTTTCTAATTTATTGTCAAATAAAATCTAATTATATAAAATGATCGCCGACACCCACTCAAGACCATTGGCTTTCATGGGCCGCTGTACACACGTGGCGCACACATTGGGGCCACTCAGCGAGGGCCACCAGGTGGTGACCTCCGTCTCTGCAGTGCAGGAAGCGCTTGGCACGTCTGACCCATCGCTGTCAGGACTGCCCAGTGGGGGCACTCTGGAAAAGTCATGTCGTCCCTCTGGGTCTCAAGTGCCTCATCTATACAATGGGTTGTTGTAGAGACTGGATGAAATCATGTTAATGGGAGAGTTTTCAGGATATAGTTTATGACTGCATAGGAAGGAATGTTCTGGAAGGGACGCCTTCAGTGCTGGCAGGCAGTGTCCTGGCAGGCGGTGGAGCAGCCAGGGTGAGGTGAGGCAGGCGCCTCTGACCAGGACCCTCACGCTGTACCTGCTCCAACGCCCCCATCACAAGGAGACCACCTACTCTTCCCCCAGGAGACCAAACCCAACCCCGAGCCAGGGTCTCCACCCCTGGAAGACGCTCGCTCCCTGGCCCGCCTCCTGCCATCCAGCCACCCGTAGGGCCCACAGTCCACACAGGGACCACCCCTGGCCAGGGCCCCCAGGCCTCACCATGCTGGGCCAGATTGATGTTGAGCTGGGCTCCCAGAGGCCTGTCTGGTCGGAATGAGAAGTAGTCTCTGTCAGCAAGGGCGAAAAACTTGTAGGGAATGACGCAACTTCTGGGCACACAGCTGAGACAAGAGTCATCTAACCAGGACGTGTCATCACTGAGACGGCAGGCCACTGGCTGTGGGGGGTCCCTGCCAGGAGAGGACACGGGTCAGCCTCAAGTGAAGAAGAATCAGTCGTTCACAGACGTTACTGAGTGTTACCACGTGCGAGAGTTTGTCCAGGGCCAGTGACCAAAACACACAGAAATCCCTGCCCCCGGAGCCACATCCTGGTGGAGGGAGACACACGGGACATGTGAATAAAATATGTCATGTTTCAAACAGAGAAGACCTAACGTCAACAGCACCGCGGGGAAGGGGGGGCTAGGGTGCAACTTGAAATGGGGGGGTCAGGGAGGGCGGCGTGAGCAGGCGGCATGAGCCCTGGAGCATCCCACGGTGTAGGGTCGGGTACCGGGGTGAGCCAGCAAAAGAGCTCCGGAGGCTGGAGAGGCACGGGGCCCACCTGGGATGGGACGGTCCTACAGGTCGAGTGGAGAACACTGGGCTCACCTGTGCCAGGTGAGGCTGACGGGTCAAGTAAAGAAGACAGAGAATGACCTTCAGGTTCAGCCACACGAGGTCACAGGTGATCTTGACAGAGAAGCTGGCTGCCAGTGTGGGGGTGACATCCTTAATCAGAGTGGGCTCAGGGGAGGTACATGGGAGAAGGTAGTGTAGTGTTGATGCAAAGGGAAGCAGAGGACAGGCCCGGCCAGAGGAGGGGGTCAAGAGGCACTAGGACCTGCAGCCCTGGGCGGCATCTGTAAGCCAGTCGGGGCCGTGGGCTCAGTGATTGGAGATGATCCCAGGGGAAGGCCCATCCACCACACAGTGAGAGTGGGCACCAGGGTGGCAGCAATGTCCTTGAGCAGCAAGACCAGATGGGACCCCAGCTGAGGCCTCAGAAGGGACAGGGACAGGAAATCCTACAGCCAGATCCAGGGAGGCAGGCCGATATGGGGGGCCCGGTGAACATGGAAGGAGCCCGGGAGCTTCTCCTTTGGGGGTGTCTGTGGTCTCAGGGCAGGAGGAGGGGTCACAGCGGAGGGGGGAAGGTGGAGCAGGGACTCAGGAGAGTGGAGAAGGAGCATGGAGGCTCCCGGGAGAGCAGGAGAGAGAGCTGAGGGGCGATGCTGGGGGTTTGAGGAGCCGGCTCTGGGGGGTGCCCTGTGACGCTGGCTGTTTAATGGTCTCTGTTATGGTGAGCGAGACTCTCCCCAAACCCGGAATGGTGTGAGGATCCCTCCCACACAGCATGTGCCCAGGAGACCACGTGAGGAGAGAGGAGCAGACCCACACCCTGGAGGTGGCCGGGCCTCGGGGAGACACAGAGCCCACCCCGCAGGCCAGACACAGGGCACTGGTCCCGCTCGGCCGCTCGCCCACCATGTGGCTGGGGGAGGGACCTCACCTCCAGGGCCTCAGCCTCCTCCTCTGTGAACCGGGCGGCACATCCCGGCCCTGCCTGCCTCACAGTGACAGTGGATTGAGACACGCTCCGTGGGGCGGTTTCGTTAATTTGTGATGAAATGAGACTGTCACCATCACCATCATCAACCGCATTAGTGTAGACGGCTTTTCCGGGAAACCCCGACATCAGACACCAGCACCTGGGCCTGGCAGGCCGCCCGCCGGAGGAGGAGCTCCCAGGCGGTGCCTCCCCTCCTCTGTTCTCTGCCCCCCACCCAGCACAGCCCCACGTGGTGGGGCCCCTCCCTGCCCCCGGGCCCCCGGGGTGTCGCTCACTCGTTCAGCCTGCGGTGCAGAGTCACGTTGAGGAACCGCGGGGCGTACCCGCGCGTCCGCCCACCTGCAGACGATGCGGCTGGTGTAGTCGTTGTGGCAGCTCAGGGTCTGCAGCGGGACGGTCCCTGCCCAGGGGGACACAGGAAGGGGTCACACTTCTCCCCTCCAGGTGTCCTAGCCACCACCCTTCCCTGCCCCTCCCGGGCGCCGGGCACTGGGGGTCCCCCAGAGTCCTGTCAAGGCTCCCGGCAGCGAGGCAGAGAACCCAGGGGCCCTGGGCGGGGCCGGGGGCTTTGTGTGTGTGAGGGTCCTGATTGCGGACCCTGCTGTCTGGAGAGAAACAGAATATTCTGGTCGATCACAGAGCGTTCCCTGAGCCCCAGCTGCGTCCTGCTCCTGGACCAGGTCTCCGTCCCACCCAGGACGGGACGTGCGTCAGGCACAGGCCCTGCCCTGACCCTCGGGGCAGCCTGGGAGGAGAGGCACAAAAGCCCCTCTAAGAGGCAGCGTGGCGGAGCCCTTCCCTGACCTCCCCACCCTGGTCTCCTGGCCAGCTGCCGGGCCTGATGGTGGGAGAAGGGACTGTGGCTCCGGCGGTTATCAGAGAAGCCAAGTTCTCTGGGAGCCCCCGGGAGGAGGGTTCGCGGGCCTCGGGAGCCCAAGGAGCGTCCCAGCTGGGCCTCCAGGCAGGAGGAGGATGCTGGGCCAAAGCAGGGAGAGACCCCCAGACCAAGGATCCCCCAGGAGCAAAGGCGCAGAGATGGGAGCCGGTCAAGGTCGTCGTCAGAGCAGCAGAGTGTCTGGTGGGGGAGGAGGGGCAGAGAAAAACTGGAACCGCTGGCCTGGAGGTTAGAGGCCTTGAATGCCACACTGAGAAATGTGGGCAGAGAAGGGATGCAAGTGGAGATGGAGTTTACAGGAGGCCAGAGAGGAATGAGCAGGAGTGTGGGAGGAGGAAGAGGGAGACGCCAGGGAAGATCAGAGAGAGAGAAGAAACAGGCAAGGGAGGGCGGAGGGAGGGGGGAGGGAGGGAATGGGAGCTGCTGGGGTGTGGGAGCTTCCTCAGGACAGGGGCCCAGCAGGGGAGGGGGACAGAGAAGCAGAGGGAGCATTCAGGCTCACCTTGGGCCCCTGCCACGCTGAGCCCCCAGCACAGAGCCAGCAGGGCGACAGGGAGCAGCTCCCGGGTCAGCGCCATGTCTGTGTCAGCTTCAGATGAATAGGGGGCTGGCACCGGTGGGTTCTGGCTGTGGGTGGGGTTGAGGGTCCTCGCTGTCCCGGAGGCCAGGCCTATCTCAGCAGCTCTTGTCCTCCACCCACTGCTGTTCTCCCCCAGGGACTGGAGAAAGAGATGGGACAGGCTGAGGCCCCCACCGTTCTCTTCTGCATGAACATGACTGGGGTGAGGGGGTGAGGGGGTGAAGGCCTTGACGGGAGGGGAGTAGGAGGCCTGGCCCCCGGCCCTGCTGCTGCCCCCGCTGGGACCCTGGATGAGGGCCTCCTCCTGTGGACCCAGGTGGTCCCTTCAGCCGCAGCTTTCTACCAGTCACCCCGGTGTTGGTGTGAGCACTGCGTGTTCGAAGAGTCAGCTGCGGGGTTGACACGTGTTTTGGGTGGGTGGGCTTTGGGGATCCAGCTCCTTCACACGGAGCCTTTCGTCTCCTAGGTCTCGAGGATACACAAGCACAGCCTGGGCCCCACTCAGCCAACACCATGACTCCGTGTGCTTGCTCCCCCTCCCACGTCGCCCGGGCGCTCCCTCTCCCCTGCAGGAGGCTGAGCCGCTGGCCTTCCCTGATCTGTTACAAGCAGAGCAGAGTCAGGCGTCTCAGCTTCTCTTCTTCCTCAAAATTTCTGAAACCTACAAAACTCACACCCGCACCCAGGCTCTGGGACAACCACGTGGGGACCAGCTGCCCCACGAGGGCTCCTATAAACCCTGGGGGAGCTGGAGCTGGTCCCTGACCCAGAGACTCTGTCTGGCTTCCTTCTCCTGGGAGCCTCTGTCGGACAGTGGGAATACTGTCCTTCCCTTACCAGCCAGGTCTGTGATTACATCCAGTTTTCCAGAATTCGATTAATAATTTCTTGTTTAGCAATACATTTCTTTAAAGGCAGCCCTTTAAGGAAAAACCAGGGAAAGATTAACAAAGAATTCGGCACAGCAGTTATCTCCTGCCTGGGAAAGGTGGTAGGAAGGAGGACGTGATGGAGATGGGGTTTGCAAGGAGGAAGCAGGGTTTCCGGGTACAGAAATTGATAAGTATCTGTCCTCAACGCCCTCCCACCTCTGTCTCTCCATCTTGGCAAACCACAACTTTGTGGCTGACTCCAACCCTCCACTTAGCTGTCCCTGCACAGCCGAAATAAACCACATCAACTGGTCTTGCTTTAAATCCTTGACAGTGATCCAGACGTGTTGCCAGACCCCCCACCCGACGCTGCCCTGGTCCACTTGCTCTTCCCATCTCCCGGGAGGTGGTTTCACACCTGCTCCTCTCCCCTTACACCTCCAGTTCCACTGCACCCATTCTCACTCTCAGCCTCCACCTGCTTTCTCCCTCCCTGGGAAAACTGATCAGAAAGCCCCACAGGCTCTCATCACCAGCATCTGCAGACGTCTCATGACCCACACACTCTGTGCCCTTGCCTGTTGCCACCAATGGACTCTCCATCCTCCTGTCCAAAGCCACCCCCCCAACTACTGCACAGGATCCACCCATGCTTGCCTCCTCAAGGACACGGCTCCAGAAATCCCCCCTCCTTCTCTCTCCGATAGCATCAGTTTGGGCCTCTCTACTGGATTACTTCCATCAGTTTACACCAGTGCTGTAATTTCTTCCATCTTTAAAAAACACTTTTTCTTGGTCCCACTTTCTCCCGCCATCTTGCACCTTATTTCTCTTCCCTTCTTTTCAGTAAACTCCCTCAGAGTTGTCTGCATTCAGCATCCCCAAGCCCCATCCACCCCTTCTGTCTACTCTGACCAGGATCTCGCCCATGCCAACAACCACTTTCTTCCATCCCTACTGGCAACCCGTTGGTCCAAGTCATCATCATATCTCATCTGGAATTGTGGGAAAGCCTCCTAACAGATTTTCCTGTTCCCATCCTCACCTCCCCTCACCATCTATTCACAAGACAGAAGCCATAAACAGATGTCAATCCTCTGATAAAAACTAGGCACTGATTCTCCCATTACAGGGAGCATACAAGCAGAGTCCTTCCAACGGCTTACAAAATCTGCCCCCTATTTCTTCTTTGTCTCCTTTCCTGCTGTTCCCCTCCTAGGTCACTGTGCTCCAGCCCTACTGGCCTCCTGAGCGTTCCTCAAACGCTCCAGGCATGCTCTTCCCTTAGAGTCTTTGCTCTGGCTGTTCCCTCTGACTGGGACATTCTTCCCTTCAATATCCACGTGCCTAATTGCCTCACCTCCTTCAATTCTTTGCTCAGTGAGACATACCTCGACCCTCCTCCTCCCTCCTCCAAACCCTGGTGTTCCTTACCCAGTAGAGCACACATTATTTTCTAACACACTATACAACACTTATTTTTTGTGTTTGTTATTTCTCCCTCTCCGTTAGCTCCATTTCTTTCCATCATCTTTCTCTCCCCCCATGTTCCAGAAGGGCAAACATTTTTTTGTCTTCTCTTTTCACTGATGCATCTCATTACTTAGAACAATTCGCAATGCATATTTGTGGGAGGAATACATTTCTTAACGTGAGTGATGCGTAGCCACGTGTTCATTTTATTATTTTTCTGAAATGGTAACTGTAAGCTTTTGTGCTCTTCTGTATGTACAAAGTAAGATGTATAACTTAAAAAAAATTAGAAAAAAATGAAAGAACTTGCTAACTAATGAGTAGCAAGTAGTTAAACTGTTGAAAACCAGTGATGAAAGGAAAATCTTCAAGGCAGCCAGAGAAAAAAGACATTGCATACATAGTAACAAAAGTAAGGCTGATAGCCGACTTCTCATCAAAATCTATGACAACCACAGGACAATGAAGGAAATATTAAAGGTACTAGTGAAAAAAAAACCCTGCCAACCTAGAATTCTATATCCAGTGAAAATATCTTTTGACAACAAAGGTGAAATGAAGACATTTCAGACAAACCAAGGCTGAGGGAATCATTGCCAACAGACCTACACTATGAGAAATGTTAAAGGAAGCTCTTTAGGATGAGGCAAAATGATTCTAGATGGAAATGTGAATCTACATAAAGAGATAGAGCACCAAAAATGATAAATATGGGTAAATATAAACTATTTTTTCTCCTTTTTAATTTAAAAGATCATTGATTATTTAAAGCAAAAATCACAGCAAGGCATCATAGGGCTTATAATATTATGGAAGTAAAAATGTGACAGCAATAGCTCAGAGGCAAAAGGAGGAAGTGGAAATATTCTGATGTAAATTCTTACATTACATGTGAAATCGTAAAATATAATTTGAAGCTAAACTATGATAAATTATAGCTGCCCATTGAACATGTACAGCAGGGTTTCTCTATTGTGCAGGGCTGTCCTGTGCATTGCAGGATGCTTACTATCATCTGTGACCTCTGCCCACTGGATGCCAGTAGCATTCCATTCTTCTGCCAGTTGTGACAACCAAAAATCTGTCCAGACATTACTAAATGTCCCCTAAGGGGCAAAATCGCTTCAGTTGAGAAATACTATTTTAGAGTAGTTACTAAAAAAAATTTTTTAAATAAAGCAAGCCAATAAAGGAGATAAAATATAACCCTAAAAGAAGTTCAATTAAAGCCAAAGAATGCAAGAAAAGAGGAAGAAAGGAATAAAATACATATAGGACAAGTAGAAGAAAAACAGCAAGATGATAGCCTTAAAAACAACCATAGCTATGACAATTATAAGTGTAAATGGCACAAACACTACAATTAAAAGGCACAGATTATGAGACTGGATATACAGATTTAGACAAACAAGACCCAACAAAATGATGTCTTTAAGAAACCACTTCAAAGTCACAGAAAGGTTAAAAGTACAGTGATAGGAAAAGCTATACCGTGATACTATGCAAATACTGATCATAAGAAAGCTGGTGTGGCTATATTAATATCAACATACAGCAGAACAAAGATTGTTATCTGGGACAAAGATGGACATTTCATAATGCAAAAGGGGTCAGTTCATCAAGAAAACGTAACAAACTAAAATAAGTATGTACTTCACTAGGGAGCTTCAAGGACATGAAGCAAAAATTGAAAAAAGTGAAATGAGAAATAGACAAATCTAGAATTATAGATGGATATTTCTACAGTCCTCTCTCAGTAATTGGTGAAACAGTTGCTAAGAATAGAAAAGACTAAAACAATACTATCAACCAACTGGACCTAATTGACATTTGTGGAATATTCACCAGCAACAACAGAATAAACAATCTTCTCAATTCCACGTGGTCATTCACCAAGATATATTATATTCTATGTCAGGAAACAAGACTAAATAGATTTAAAAGAGTTGAAATCATATATAGTGTCTTCTGTTCAAATTAGAGGTCACTAACAATTATAGATAAATACCTGGAAAATCCCCAAATATTTGGAAAATAGATTTTCCTAAATAAGCCTTGGGTCAAAGAAAAAGTCACAAGAAACATCAGAAATATTTTGAACTGAAAAAAGTGAAAAGGGACTCAGCAGAAACAGTATTTAGAGAAAAATTTTATGCTTTAATTGATTATCTCAGAGAAGAAGAAAGGTATAAAACTGATGATCTAAACTGCCAACTTAAGATGCAAGAAAAAAAGAATAAATTAAACACAAATAAGTAAAAGGAGGAAATAATTAAAATAAGAGAAGTCAATGAAATAGAAAACAAGAATAATTAGAGAAAATTCAAATGCTATTTTCTTTTTTCAATCAATGAAATTTATAAACCTCTAGCTAGGCTAATCAAGAAAAAACAAAAAGAGAGTGAGAAGACGCAAATTACCAGTATCAGGAAAGAAGCAGGCATCACTACAGATTCTACAGACATTAAAGTGATAATAAGAAAATATTACGAGCAACTTTATGCCCATGTTTTTGTCAACTTAGATAAAATGGAAAAAATTCTTAAAAGACACAAATTGTCAAAACTAACTCAAGAAGTATTAGAAATTTTGGATAAGCCTGTATCTGTTTAAAATGTTGACTTTATAATTAAAAACCTTCTCACAAAGAAAATGCCACACCCAGGTGGCTTCACCAATGAGTGCTAATGAATAATACGAATTCTACACAAACTTGGAGGTGGGAACACTTCCCAACTCATTTTATGAGGCCGTTAATACCCTTATAGCAAAGACACTACAAGAAAAAAAAATTACAGATCAATATTGCTCATGAATGTAGACATAAAAATCCATGACAAAATATTATCAAGTTGAATCGAACAATATATAAGGAAGATAAGACAATTGGATAATGTGGGGTTTACACCAGATAGGCAAAGTTGGTCTGACATTTGAAAATCAGTCAATGTGATTTAGCACATTAACAGACTAAAGGAGAAAAAGCAAATGATTATCTCAATATACACAGAAAAAGCACTTGACGAAATTCAACACCCATCTATGATACAAGAAAAACGAAACACCTGCCAGTAAAGTAGGAATACGAAAGCATTTATTCAGCCCGATAAAAGACATCTATGAAAAAGCTACAACTGCTTTCCCCCAAAGATCAGTAAGAAGGCAAGAATGTCCACTCTCACCACTGCTATTCAACATTTGCTGGAGGTCTCAGCCAACGCAATCAGTCAAGAAAAAGAAGTAAAATGCATGCCTTTTGGTAAGGAAGAAATAAAACTGCCTCTATTCACAGATGATACTCATGTACACAGAAAACCTTAAGGAACCTACCCAAAAAAGCTATTAGAACCAAGTGAATTTAGCAGAGTTAGAGGGTGCAAGGTCAATATACAATGTTTGGGGGGAAAAGAATGATTGGTGCTCAAGAACAGTCAATGCCCTTGGACAAGGTCATCTGGGCAAGAGACAACCCTGCTTAGCTCCTAAATTGAGCTTACTGAGCCACACTGAGCTTTGAGTCTGAATGGAGCAGATCTCCAGGTACCACCTTCTGCATCCCTCTTCCTCTGCCCCCACACCCCTCATGTGTACTCACGTACCTTCACACACACAAACATACACCTTTAAAGCCGTGTGTCAGGGACTGTCAGGTCTAATACCCTATTCTAAAGATAGGGAGACAGAAGCCCAAAGTGGAGGGGGAACATTCTCACTGTCACATCTCAGTGGCAAACCAGGGGACAGCACAGATATCTGAGTCCAGAGCTCTGTCCTCCACCCCCTAGTTCCAATGCCTGGCTGAGTGGCCAAGCCCTAACCTCCCCAGACCCTGGAGCTCCCCTGCCCACTCAACCCCAGGCCCTCCCTGGCCCTTCCATCCCAGGCTGCCCACGCGGCCCCCGCTCCTCGCCCCACCCGTAGCCTGCCCCCGAAAGCTGGGCCATACCTCTCTGCGCTGGACAGACCAGCCTGCTGCTGGAGTCTCCCGGGAGCAGAGTGCCTCTCACGCTTCCTATTTATGCTGACGTCGTTAGGAAATGGAGGGGCAGAAAGAGGAAGCGACGCTGGCCCAGGCCTGTTTCTGTGCAAGTGACTCTTCACAAGATTGCCCAGCTTCCCAGAATCGTGGACAGCAAGATAGCCACTTTTTTCTAAGCCTCACTGACTTTGTAATGTTGTGCTTGTACCCCACTTTGTCTCCCTGTGAACTCCTACGCACCCTCTAACTGCCAGCTCAATGCAAAGTTCCTCCATGCAGCCTTCCCGGACGCCCCCAGGGGGATGCAGGGGGAGGTGGCTGCAATGACCAGAGCAGGTGAGAGTCCAGAGCCAGACGGACCTGGGCTGGACTCCCCCTCCCCTACTGCTCGCAGCGTGAGTGCTATGGACTGAATTGTGTCTCCCCAAAATTCACATGTTGAAACCCTAACCGCTAGTGCAACTGTGTTGGAGACAGGGCCTTATGGAGATAAGATTAAACGAGGTCATAAAGCTGGGGTCCTGATGCAATAGAATAAGCGTCCTTATAAGAAGAGGCATCAGAACGTCCTTTCTCTCTCAAGGTCTCTCACTCTCTCTCCACTGTGAGCCGACACGGTGAGAAGGCGGCCAGCCATCTACATGCCAAGAAGAGAGCTCTCACCAGGAATGGAATTGGCTGGCACCTTGATGTGGGACTTCTGGCCCCAGGACCATGAGACAGGTGGTCTGTTGTCTGAGCCCCCCCGTCTGTGGTATGTCGTTACGGCAGCCCAAGCAGACTGACACGGCGACCCTATGCAAACGCCCACCTGTAACTGCTCCGAGCCCCAGCATCTTCACCTGTTACTTGAAGATGCTCATCTACAAACCTCAAAGGGGTTTTGAAGGGATCAGAGGAGATGATGCCCGGCACGCGCTAATCCTCAATTGGCGTGAACTGAAAGTGCTTTTATCCCCCTTAGTTCCTCTTTTCCCCTGCACCTTCCCACACTGTCCTATGGTCCAGTTTCCATGTCTGCCCTCCAACCTGGCTAACGGCTCTTTCTTTGATTGTCCACACCTGGCCTGGCACAGAGGTGCCACCTGGGACTGCGTGTGGAATGAATAATCGAACAAGTGAACAAATGAATGAATAAACGAATGAGTGACTCCTTGAGGACAGTGACTCCGGAGCTCATGCCTTCTCCCTTCTCTCTCTGGTTCTGTCCAGCCGGGCACAGGACCGGGCACACCAATGGGGGAGCCTCACTTGGTGATACAAGCTGGGTGCAGTGTGTAGACCACAGGGATGGGCAAGGAGTTCTGATGCTCAGAATTCCTACACTGGTATCCCGTCTTTTCCTGCCTTTTTCCTGGGATGGGAGAAGGGCAGAGAGGAGGGGAGGGAAAGAGTGGGAAACCGTTGGCAATCTCTCCTGTTGGTTCTTTGATTACCTCCTGCCAGCGAAGGTACACCTGGCCAGGAAGACTGTCGAGTACCCTTCCCTTGGCGGGGAATCTTGGCTCGAGGACAGGAGTAGGGGGTCAGCCTGGTGCTCGAGGCACACACGAGGCCTCCTCCGGGATCCAGCGCTCTCTCTGGCACTCCTGCACGTGTGTGGTCACCGTCCCGGCACGGAGAGGTCATTCAGAGGTCCAGTGCAGGACGCAATGGGTCTGAGCTGAATCCTGTCCCCAGCCTTCTTCCTCTCAAAGTGCTCCCACTCAGCTTCCTGGAACCGCTTTGCTGTGCTGGGGACCCAGGAAAGTGCCAGGCACAGGGCTGGCCTGGGAGAGCTCAGTCTGGAGGAGTGGAGAGCAGAGGTAGAAGGATGCTCCTCAGAGGATGGCTGTCCCTCTGTGTTCTCCGCTCACCACCACGTGGGAAGCATCAGGGCCTGGGCAGACGGACACGGGCGCAGGGTCGGCCGGGAATACTGCTGCCTGCCAGCTCAGGAAGCTGCATCACTCCCCCGTCACCACCAAGAGGGGGCTCAGAGGTCACACCCCGATGCCTTCCCTGGTGAGCGAAGGTGCCTCTCGGCCTCCCAGCTCCCAGCCTGTCATGAGCTGAGACCCCTGGCCAGGCTGCAGTGAAGTGGCCAGTGGAAAATGGGACACCGGGAATGACCAAAGCAAGACTTCCTACAGACATTGTAATAACTAAAAATTTTAAAATATTATCTTTTATAAATATATTAAAATATTAAACAATAAAATGTCTAAAAATTAAACAATGATAAGGGAGCCTTGTGGGAAGTCCTGGGTCTGGCTATGAGACTCAACCATAAGCGTAAGTTTGGGGCAATCATTTCCCGCCACACAATTCTGTGGAGGCGATGTCAAGAGAAACAACGTCCTGTAATGAATGATTAACTGCGGGGCTGGAGATGGCTGATCTGAGTTCGAATCTCAGCTCTGCCACTTGCCAGCTGTGTGACCTTAGGCAAGTTACTTGGCCTCTCTGTGCTCAGTTTTCTGTTGTGTAGCATAAGGCTGGTAACAGTTCCTGGCTCGCAGGGTTATGATGAGGATTTATTAGTAGGTATATATAAGGCCTCGGAACAGAGCGTGGCATGTAGGTGCCCAGTCTATCTGACCTAGTTGTTGTCCTTGAAGGCACTGGCTCGCATCCAAGTGGCATCTGGAGAGGCCCATTTCTCAATCCCTGGACCACAGGCCCCTCTGCCTGGGCCCCAGCCATGCTTCCTCGTTTCATCCACGAGTTTTGACTAAATAATTCTCTATGCGAAGCCCTCCTGTCCCCAGAATTGTTCCATGCTGGCCCCGAAGGGAGAGACTCGCTGGCTATTCACACTGATAAAGGCCATGAGATGGGTTCGGGGCGGGATCACTGCCCCTCTGGACGAGGTGACTCTCCAGCCACCTCATTCCCCTCTTATTTGCCTTGTCGACTTTCTAAGTTTCTGCCGGTTTCTTTCTGACAAACTGCAGCCCCGCTTCCATGAGAGTGGGGTCCGGAGGGGGCTGCCGGGGTCTGAGATGTGGCAGACAGGGAGCACCCTTGGTGGAGCAGGAAACGTCTGGAAGGGGAGTGGCACGTAAAGGGAAAAAGGATGGCGTGTTTGACCCTCGGGCTTGAGACAGAGACACAGCAATTCTGAGTGAGAAGTCAGGTGGGGTCCCCTTCCCCCAGGGGGCGTGTGGAGGTGGGTTCAGGCTGACGATAAAATGAAGAGATTACTGGATTCACAGATTCTGAGCTCACAACAGAAAGGCTGTTGGAAACAGGACCCGAGAAATCACAGGAAGGAGCCCCGGGGCCCAGGGCTGGCTTCCAAGCCCAGACCAAGGGGAGCCACATTTTGCCCCAGGAAGCCCCTCCGGGGGTCAAAGCTGAGATCAGAGCTCCAGCCTCGACTCAGCCTCTGACTGGCTGTGTCACCTTGGGCGTGCCACACTGTCTCTGAGTCTCACTTTGAGGTCTCCCCATCTGTAAAATGTGGATATCAGGTGGCATTTGCCCATCTGTGCCCCAAGCCTAGCCCCCACGTGCCTGGGGCCCCCAGCGCTCTCCGTTGTGCTGACACCCCCATCAGCAGAGCCCAGGGCCCTGAGGAGGCCAAGGCAACCATCAGCGTCCTGACCAGACTTCCAGGATCTAAGAATGAACCTGAAACGTTATCCACCAGAAATGGAACATTGCTACTATTTTATTATTATAAATGTGAGTCTCCCAACTTTAACTGCTGACATTTTTCTGGGTAATAGTAATAATTTCTCAGCACTGCAGCGCCTGAGGGCGCCTGGGAGTCCTCTCCTTCATCCTACGATGCTTAATAAACACTCCTGTCCAGCCGGCCCGTTGGATAACATCCCTCATTGTTCGGTGCACAGCAGAACATCGTTCAGGCAGACGTTTCTGACAATATGTTTCCAGAAGGAACTCCATCCTCAAGGTTAACGGCTCAGGCAAATCCCCAAAGCCTTCATCTCTAACTTCTGAAAATGGTTTTGTTTGAATTTTAGCCTCCAAAGACTCAAAACTATGGGGAATGGCCTTCCTAAGGCATTCTTATAAAATCTGTTGTTTTGAGGTTTGAATAATAATAAGAAAATGTACACGGGGTGCTTATCTGTGAAACTGTTTTCCTTTCTTCGTTCTCTTCGTCATCTTTATCATGTCTGCCTCAGAGATAGTTTATCATGGATATTATACTCCCTTGAACTTTTTCTCTTTGTGAAATCTGGATGGAGCAAAGCTGACAGTTTGCTTATCACTTATTCTCACAAGATGTGCACAGTTCTCAAACAGGACCTTTTCTTGCAGGATCTATGGCCTGAAGAGAATGAAACCACTGAAAAATGAAATAGAATTCTTCAAGGGACTCTATTCCACGGAAAGAATGTTGCTACTGGAAAACTTCTACAGAGGTTAGAATTATAATATAATTAAATCTCTATTTTCTGCCTCTTACTGTTTAAATTTTATAAGCTCGAATAGTCTATAATATTCTTCCTGAAATTATCAAGCAAATACTCTCTTAATATTTGTATTAGCCATCAATCTAGCTCCCTATTCAACTATTTAAAGCTCTTAATTACTGTTTTTCTTCATAAAATTAACAGCTTTCACAATCAGTAATTAGTGCAGGCTTTTACTCTTGAAATAATGAATATGTGTTTATACTTCAATGGACTGATTCAATTTCAGCTTTAAAAAGTACGTAAGCAAACATCGCAAGGAGGAAAAAGAGAAGTAGAGTCGGGTACCTCTAGGTTGAAAAAAGAAAAACTATGGTATAGTGTCCAGACATGTGGACTGGATGATCAAACCATAAAGAAAAGTCAGAACGTGACAGATGCTGCCAGAGAAGTCGGGACGCTGGTTTTGGGGGGCTGCCGCACTTGTGTGAGAACAGCGTGGGGAGGGTTCTGCGTGGCTGGCACTGTTCTGTCACCTGTCCTGGGTGAGGGGGCAGTTACAAGGATATTCACCTTAGAATAATTTATTAAGCTACACATGTCTCGTGTGTTTGGGGTACTCTGTTGTATTTAACAATAAAACTGGTTTTTAAAAAAAGGATAAAATTCCAATCTGAAAATA